CAAAATTCTAATGCAGTTCTGAGGCTTCCTTCTGTATATCACACAACTCCCGTTGGTGTGAAGGTGGGTAGCAGGTAGAGACTAGACCTCCAAAGATGTTATAAATGCCACGAGGCGTTGCACGTGAGACGCTTGCTTTACTTGTATGTGAAATTAATGCTTATTCCCATTCCATATCTGACTCCTTACACAACACAGTATTTTATTCCCTTCTAATATCCAGACCTTAGGACGCAAAGGAGTTCTGTCTCTTAATGATGCTGTCGCTAAATTTCCAAGTAGATATGCTGTTAATTCTGCATCTGTTAATGGAGATGAATCATTATGAAGGTTTGTGCATGTACATCTTTTGGGTCTAGTTACTTTCTGAAACCTGCCTGAATAACACTGTTTAGAAGTCAGATGCACTTTCAAGTTCTGTATTTGGAGCAATAGAATACAAGTTTGTCTATATGTAAAATCCAGGGCTACCAAAACAAAATAACTTGCCTAGAAGATATGTCACATAATGGCAATAATGGCAATAATAATGGCTGAATTCAAGTAAACACATTCTGACTTTTTGAAACAGGTGGAAAGAGCACTCAGGGAAAGCTTATTCCAGACCACGGCTGTACAGTAAATTGTGAGTCTGGAATTAAGTCGGCGAGATCCTGGGTGGGAGGGCGGGGTGGGGTAAGGAGGGGGAGATCATTGTTTAAATGCACTCTTCTCTCCATTCAGGCATTTTTTTGTTTGTCTTGTTTCTTGAGGATTTTCAATAGGTGTTAGAAGACTAGGAGAGCAATACTTGAAGATACTGCTTTCAAGGTGGAACATTTTTATTGAAACAATTAAAAACTAATGTTATTTATTATGTGGTTTGGCCAATGCTGTAGCAAATTTGGAGCCCAGGCAAAACTGTGAATTTCAATGGCTTTAATTTTGGGCAGGAGTGGTAACTTTGCAGGAGTGCTTTAATCTGTATCAAATAAATAAGGCTTTATTAATGCTTCAGGCCTGTTTACAAGTAGTAATGCAGTTTTAAGCACTTACAGTAAAAAGACTGTTGTTTGTTGAAAACAGAAGTATTATAAAATCCACTGTGTATGAAAATGCAGTAGAATAAGTGTTTTGCTACAATTTAGTGACTTCTGATAGAGGATTGTTCCAAATTCCCATGGTAAACTTTGCTATGGAAGTTGCAGGCTGCATGTATGTGTGTTTAGTTTTCATAGAACTACTGACTAGAAGAGAAGGGAAGATTCTGCTGGTTTTGTTCTGTGGGAAAGTGCCAGTTCTACGTGCCAGTATTGTTTTATTCAAAACTATTTTTGAGCATATAAAAATAACATACGTGATACGCAGTCTTATCTTTTTTTTCCCTTGCCAACCACCTTGAATTTTTGTCTTATATTAATTTTGAAAATTTGTCTGGGTTTAATGGAAATAAATGTTACTCATTTAAGAAGTGTGTGAGTTTTTTTTCTATAGATACTTGTAAGAACTAAGTAAGTGCGTAAATGTCACTTGATGGTCTTAGTCATGCATGTGTATTTGTGATTAAATTGCAGCATCATGGTACAGGCTTTCTATGTGTCAAGAACAGGATGTGACTGGATGTGGAGCTACTCCAAATCTACGAGAAAATAATTTTTGTCTCCATTGAGTTTTGAAGCTGGATTAAAAATTCATGAGTGAGCTGCCCTACAGGTGACACAAGTATGCAAAATATAAAACTAAGCTATGTTAAAAACATGTTCAACTTCACCTTCCAGTGCCACAGTGTTGATCACACCGATTAAACAATCTCTTTAAATCTATGAATAGGATTAGTTTCCATGATTCTGTTTCTAGAAACTGCTATATGGATGTTCTGTATGTGTGCAGTTGGTATTACTGGGAAAACTGCAGTGTATGTCCTACTGTCACTTGTGTGTTTAAACTAACTCGCTGCACAGTGAAGCTGTGTCTGTTTGAGTGATGTCCAGGAATTTTGGAGAAAGGGCCAGAAATTTAAATTTGGCTACAGTAATGTCTCCAAAAAAAAAAAGATGACGTGTTAGGAGAAATGGGGACATATGCTTGCATCAGTCTGTAAACACAGAACTATGGATAGCATGAGCATATTTGATGTGACTGAGAGGATACTTCTCTCTACCAGAAGGGAACTGATTTTTCAAAAACATCGTTTCCTGTTCTTGTTGAACGTACAGACAGACTGTATTGTGTTGGGAAATTGCTCCGGTGCATCAGATGTTTGCTCAACCCATTACAAGGAGGTCCCTGCTTCCATTTAGGCATCTCCCTCCCACTCTAGGCAAATATAAAACCTTAAGTTATCATTGATGTCTAAGAGAGCAGTATACATGAACATATACCAAAAATATTCCTCGTGCAGCTGTTCTTGGTGAAATCTAATCTGTATGAACTGTACCTCTGTGTTCTGAGGTTTTTTTCTCTGTTTCTTAATAATTTGGAACTAAAGAAGACTGCAGTCATGTTAAATTTATCTTACTACAGGAATAGATTTACTGTTGAATCCCCTCTTGGCTATATCTATAAATAAAACCAGCCAAAGGCTTTTCCAGGCTTGAGGCCAAGTGACAGCACAGAATGGCTGTGTCCCTGAGGTTACTGTCTCGTCCTGTCTTTGGGCATCACGATGATGGAGGTTGAAGAAACCATCAGCCAGTCTGAAGGCTACAGCAACTGACAAAGTTGCACAGAACTGCCCGAGCTTCTCTACTTTGGGAATTGCAATGGCTTTGGATACTACTTTGGTTGGTGGTGCTGCTGGTGTTGAAAGCATCCTCAGTTTGGGGAGGACCGTGCACTCTGACAGCCCTTAGATGCTGTGGTTTTGTCAGTCTGGTGTGGGAGAGGTGTGTGTCCTGCTGTTTCCCATTGTTGTGCCCTGCGTGCTCGGCAAGTACCACTGTCCTCAGTGACACAGCTGGATGCTGGGCTGGTATGTTCTGGTTAATGGTGTTCAATGTCAGTTGAAAAAACTACTGTTTGCAGCACCCCCACCCTTGCCAGGTTGTATTCCTGCCTGTTCTATACCTTGTTTGGTGTTACAAATCATCTCCCCTTAAATGCATGTCCCTGACCTCTTCTTTCCCTGTATGCTAAGTTTAGAAAGCAAATGAATTTCATCTGAACTTTGTTCCAGGCCTAGTTCCATTACGGGACATAGGTGACGACGGCTGAGGCATTTGTGACACTTCCCTTCATCTGGGCTTGGAGTGCTGATCCCTGCAAAAACCAACCCAGCAGGAAGGAGGGAAGGACCTTGCATGGCAGGCTTGGACTGGGACTCTCCCAGCCAAACAGCTGCTGCAGCTCATAAAGAGCACATAACAGCCTTGCCCTGCATCCAAGCAGCAGTTTTCATTCTGCACCTGCCTGTAGGGGACCTTTAGCTTAGATTTGGTTTTGCACTGGGTTTGTGTATACTAACAGCCCACCTCCTTCAGCTTCTAGGTTGCCTCCCCATAGGTAATGAGGGAGATCTTTCTGGAGTTTTATTCTCTAAGGTCTTATGCCACTTCTCATCACTAGGCTTCCTGCCCTCTGAGATGCCTCTTGCTAACGGAGGTCCCAGCAAACACTGAAGCTGCTTTGCCTTCACTGATTTGGCATACCCCAAAGTAGATCTTCATTAGTGGATTAGGATTCCAGCACATAAATATTCCCAGTGGCCAAGAGGATTGGTGGCTAGAACTTTTTAGTACAAGTATCAGCTTACGCAGCCTGTGGCCTGGCTGTGAGAGAAAAAGGTATGTGATGCTGTTCACTGAATACAGTCAAGAAACTTTCTTTTTCTTCTTTCCAGGAGGTATTTTGCACACAGATTCATCTTCTGTATTTTGCCAATAAAACCTTGTTAAGGCCTGGTCATCATGGACAGAGAGAAGAATCAGGCAGGGAAGGAAAAAATAACTGCTTGAGGCTAGCTCTAGTAATAAGGCCATTGAATGCATAATTATTATTGGGTGTGGCCTTTGTTCAAAAGAGATGGTGCCCGTGGTTGAACTACATTTAATATTTTTGAATCACCTCTGCTTAAGTTACATCCACATTTCCATTTCAATTCTTTAAGCCTAGGAAAGCACAACGATAATTTTATTTGTAGCTATTATATGTGATTTTATTAGGTTTTGTATTTTCATTCAAACTATACTAATTTCTTTAGTATCCATGGTGACAAAATACCCTAGCACAAACATGAGAAGACTTCGGTCTCACGGCAGTTTCCTTACCACGTCATCAGTTGCTGCTTTGAATTAAAGGTGTATTTACCTCCAAATGCCTGAATCAAATGGCATGATTAGCTGTATCATTTGTAATCTTTGAACGATCTCTGGAAGCTTTTAGGTGTTTTTTTTTCTCTTTGCAGGAAAATGAAGTAAAATGTTGTAACTGCCTGCTAAACCTATTTTCTATGTATACTACCTGTAAAATAGTAGGCATGCTTCAGAGATGTCTGCTTTCATCGCATCAAATAGTAACTACTGTTGTTGTAACAGGAATTCTATACTTATACCTTGTGGAAGAGAGTTACAAGAAGATACTCTGCCATCGTTATGAGATCAAAACAGGCAATGCTGGTCCTTTTGCCTTTTGACACCACATTTAGTTTTCTTTCCCAGGGAATACGTAGGTTTCTCTCATTGGTCAGGACATCTTGCTAATTTATTCATTCTCATCTCTATGTTGAATACTAAAATAAAAATAGACTTTGTGCTGTAATGCAAAAGGTGGTATTTCCTTGTTGGTTTATTTTTACTGCCTAAAAGGGACTTTGATCTCAAAAACTGAACATGATAAGCATGTTATATATTGTGGATTGCTCTCATAGGCTTACTCCAGTCTTTTGCCTTGTTCTCACTACAGCGTTTGTCAAGATAACAAATAACTTATGATATGGCAAATTAAATGATTCTTTACAAATATTGTATATGAGAAGTGACCGTCTGGTTTTTGCCTTCAGTAGAATATTTTTTTCTGGAGTGCTCATGGCGCTTTCTAGATCTCTGGTTTTTGCTTTGATCAGTTGGGTTACGTTCATCTGTCTTGATGCACAAAGTAAGTAGTATTATTTTTATAAATGCTTGTGAGTCTGTTCCTACTTCTATTGAAATTGAATATTCAAATTAATAAATTTGTATAAATCACAATCCTAGGAGTTTAAGATGTGTTGATCTGTTGACTGATCACAAGTTGAAAACCACTGCGCTTGTATGTACAGTGGGTTTTTATAAGTTCTCTTTGAGTGTTCTGAGCTTTGAGCTTTGGTTATGCAACCAACATTCAATATAATACCTAGGCTGAAGCTGAGTCTCAGGATGTATAGTTTTGAAGTTAGGATCATTTGAATTCCTTGCTGCTCTTAATCTGTTAAATTAGATTAGAGCAGTTACCATTTTTACATCTGGTATTCGTTGTAGTGGTAAGGACTACATTAAATGTTCTCTTTGTTGTATTGAAGAGAGGGCTTCCAGAAAGTGAAAACTCTGCCATCCATTAGCTGAATCTGGGAGTAGAAACAGTGTCTGTGTGCCTAAACTTGAGGTCTTAATATAATTTTGGTCCTTTCGCCTTCCTAGAGAATCTTGACAACAGTGAAAATCCTTTGTTTTCTGATAGTTCCAGAGGATCATCAGGAATGTCTGAGGGAAAATTTTTCTTTGGGGAAAAAAACCCAACAACAACAAGGGATTTTACTTAATTACTGATTTTTCCTTTATTCATCTGTGACATAACATTCCAACCACTTCGAAGCTTCCAGGTTTTTGGTATTTTTCAGTAATCCAGAGCCCCACTTTCCAAAGTAGGCTTTTGAATACTATGAGATGGAGGCAGCAAATTAGACCCCTAAGGAGGAGCTGCTGACTGCAGAAGTGTTCTTTAGGGTATTGTTTAGTTGCTTGTGTAGAAATCCATCCACTGCTTACTTACAAATGAGATCCTATAGAGTGGTGTAAATATGAAGGTATCTGCCTGGCCAGGCAAAAATAGCCCACCACTACTTTTACCATCACTAAATATGCGGTGAGGATGATGAGGAGACAAGTCTTAGCATTGGTGCAAACTTACATAAGACCACAAGAGTTGCACAGGCAGTATAAGAGCATAGACTGCACTGTGTCAGCTTTGCTGAGTAATTCTGGTCATGGAAGGAGGAAAAAAATCTGGTGGATTTCTCTCTGTATAGTTTGAAGATCTAGAAAAAAAAGTGTCGCTTTCTATCACACAGAGAAAATGTAGAGAAAGGGCACTGAGGTACAATAAATGACTTATGAAAGCCCTGTCACAGTAGGAAAGCATACTTCAAAAATGCCAATTGCTATAAAAGTTTAAGGAGAATAAATTTTAGGTAAATCCGTCAATGTGCCCTAATCTTCTGTATTCTTGCTAACATTTCAGTGGCAAACAGCTTTGTGTTTATACTTTTCTTGAGGGTACAAAAGCAGTTTCGATTCTGATTTCCACAAGTGTTTCAACTGTCATTAATGAGTCATTACTGTCAGGTGATAAAGCCCAAGTTTCAGTCTGGTCAGGGTACAAAGGAAAGACAATTCTGTAGCTAGATATTTCACATCCTTTTTTGATAGCTGCTTTTTTAAGTTATGAAGTCCTTCATTGTAGAATTTTTTGGGGCAAGGAGATATTGGATCCAAGAAACTAATGTTTGCCTACTCTGTGTCATGTATTGTTTTAAACCCTGAAAATTACATCAAGGCGCCACCGTGATAAATGACTTTCAGCTTAATTTGAGCTTGTCTATGCATCTGGTTTTATATAGCATAAGCTTTTTTACCTTGTACTATTTCTGGATAAAGTCCCTCCGTGTCCATTATACCTGACTTTTCCTTTTCTTTTTAGAAACCACAAGTATAAATTGTGACACAACCCCGAAAGTACTCGCGCTGTCAGGCTTTTTGGATGAATATACAGGTAAAACCATGATTCTGTCCTAGAATTGTCTGATTTTCTCCCTAATACACAAAATACTTTAATGCTTCATGTAGTCACTGCATTTTATAATGAGCCTATATTTTTAATTGATTTACAATAGCCTTCATGCCTGGGTGCAGCAGCTGCCTACATGGCATACTGCTTAGTAGAATAAATAAATACAAAACCCAGAATTCCCTGATCCAAGGATCTCGCTGTCTGAATAGACAGAGCAGGCAAAGGGAAAGGAAACAAGTACAGCAAAATTTATGTTTACAGTTCACCATGTCACATCAGCCCACAGAGCTGACCTCTTCCTTCCCTCCACCAGAAGGAACTGCCTCTGCCCCAGCCCTGCTCTATTTCACACCCGAGCCTCCGTGAAAGGCAATTTTTTGTTTTGTTGGGGCAGTAGGGAGAGCAGATGGGGTGCAGAGGAGCAAGGAGGTTTGCAATACGGGGAATTACAGGACCAATGCTGGCCACTTCATGTATTTGTGTTCTAGTTTTCTTTGTTACTGTATCACACTATATTATTCTGATGATTATTTAACTTGTGCAACCTGTCAGGGTTAACATTCATTTTTCCCCACATTTTCTACCCTTCCTTAGCTTAGGTGTCAAAGTAACTCTGCCTTGGAGACAAAATCCCACAGTGACTGCAAGAGAGCACAGTGCACAAAAGGAGTAGTCTACTTTTTTTATTATTATTATTGGTATCTGTCTCGCAACAAATGCAGTGCAGAGGATAACTCCATCCTCCTTTCCTCCCACTCCTAACTGGAGAGGTTACTGTTGTTCACTAAAGGGTAGGGCTGTTGCCTGTGACTCTGCTGTCTGTTAGAAGCAGCCCCCCAGCCAGGATTTGACTTGCATAAGGGATATACAGTGATCCCACAAGGCAAAACGTTAGGTAATGGCTAAAGTGTTCCCTTCAGGATATGTCATAACCCTTAGGATCTGATAGGAGTATGTGCCAGGCACGTGCTGACTGTCCACAAGCAATCTTCATTGCTTCTGACTTTCAGCAAGATAGAGAAAACAGGTATGATACAGAGCAGTATTTTTTTTCCAGCCGTTGTTGAGACATGTATTTCAAAGCTGTTAAGGGTGTAGCTGCTGTGTCTGTCCCTACATCTGCATCATATCAGTGTACCTGCTGACCAATCTGTAATGAATAAGCAAGAAGGACAACAAGCTTCAATTTTTCAAGCACTTCCTTTTTGTTAGGCTTTCTCTGCTGGATGGAATGCTATTTCCTAGGCAGCTACCTGGTACTTCTTGCCTGATTGTATCCAGCTCTGGATGGAGGATTATCCATATAACAGCAGGCAGAGATAGATTTTGCTTTTCTAGAATGTTTTCCAACAGTTTCAACTCTGCACCCAATAGAGTCATACCACACAACACAGGGCTGTGGGTACACAGCCCACTTGTTCTGTGCTTACTGCCATCTGACTGGACTTTCTCCTTACATGCAATTATGGTCCAGTACCTTTGGGCTGGTAGCTGACAGCATTCCAGACACTCCCTGGTGTTGGAGGAAGACAAGGTTCCCTTCCTTTAGGCACTTAGAGACCAAGCCCATGAGTCTGCATGTGGAGATTAGAGTTGGGGCTGTTTCAGAAAGGATTTAGTAGCCTAAATTAGTAATGATGGAGTACGAAAACAATGGAGTAGAGTAAGAAACGCAGCTAGCAAGTTTCCTAAAGATCATGGAAAATATTTGGGATGCTCAGGAAAACTTTGGAGGGGAGAGGGGATTATGGGTTCGCAATCCAACTAACATGTTCCATGAGGAGGTATATTGTTTCATAAACACAAATATCTTGATAATATGAGTAAGGTAACTTGTAATCTATTTTCTAAAATTGACATTAGCACCACACTGGATGGTTTAAAAGGATATATGTCAAAGACACTTTTAAACACAGATTTGGTGTTTAACCAAGCAAGTAATACACTCACTACTGAAATTATAGTGAGTCTAATATGAATCATTGAATTCACATGAATCATATGAATTACAAATAACAATTTTTAACAATAGTTCCTAAATGCATGGTTGTAGAAAATCACATACAAATTGATTCAAAGGTTGCATTGGTTTATGTTTCAGTGTTCTGTACCTACAGGAACATATTAAAGGAGGGGCCATACCCTTACCATTCTGTACCAAAATAAAAATTTAAACAACCTCAAACCTGAATCCAGATTCCCACTGGATTCTACCAACTTAATAGATTCAACTGAGAGATATGAAATACCCTTGTGTTTGGATAATACTGAATCTCGCCCCATGCAGCCTCGACTAGACTCTGCTGATCCTGATTACATTCCTTGACTTTGATTACACTTTGATTACATTTTCATACTAAACGTGAAAAAAGTTTTGGAGTATAAAGCTGTTTTCAGAAAATAGTGGAAATTTAGGTATAAATTATGCCAAGCTTTTAAATTCTGGACATATTGTTAAGGAGTGTGAATATATTGGAAAAAGTGGTTTTGTGAGGTTTTAAAAATGTATCAATGCACTTGTGCATAGTACTTAAGGGGACTTTAACAGATCTCATTGTTTAGCTGAAAATGCCAAAATAATATAAAATGTAATGAAAGGTAACCAGTAATCTAGTTGTTAATACATATGAAACCAACCTATGGATTGGAGTAGGGAAGTCATCGTGCCTCTGTCCTCGGCACTGGTGAGGCCTCACCTTGAGTACTGTGTTCAGTTTTGGGCCCCTCACTACAGGAAGGACATTGAGCTGCTGGAGTGTGTCCAGAGGAGAGCCACCAAGCTGGTGAGGGGTCTAGAGAACAAGGCATACGAGGAGAGGCTGAGGGAACTGGGCATGTTTAGTTTGGAGAAGAGGAGGCTGAGGGGAGACCTCATTGCCCTCTACAACTACCTGAAAGGAGGGTGTAGAGAGGTGTTGGCCTCTTCTCCCAAGGGAGTAATGACAGGACCAGAGGAAATGGTCTGAAGTTGTGGCAGGGGAGGTTTAGATTAGATATTAAGAAGAATTACTTTACTGGGAGGGTGGTCAGGCACTGGAACAGCCTGCCCAGGGAGGTGGTGGAGTCACCATCCCTGGAGGTATTTAAGAAACATGTAGATGTGGCTCTTCAGGGCATGCTCTAGTGCCCAAGATTATTGGTTTGTGGGTGGGTGTGATGTGGTGGGGTGTTGTGGTTTTTGTTTTGTTGGTGGTGTGTTTTTGGTTTTGGGTTTGTTTTTTTGTTTGTTTTTTTTTAAGGTTGGACTTGATGATCTCAGAGGTCCCTTCCAACCATGGTGATTCTGTGATTTCTTTTCCATAAAGTAATCTAATTCATTACACTTTCTCTTACAGGTGATATAGAATGGATCACAGATATCCCACCCAATGTGAATCTGAAATTAAAACAATATGTGTTCCCCGAACACTTACCATATGTGGAGCTAGTATATAACTCTGGTTCTAAAAATGCAACAGTGAGGACTCGTAAGAAACTGGATGTTGAGGCTATTGAGGTATTCTTTTCACTGTATTTAAAACCTAGATATAAAGCTTTTCTTGACAGGTGAAGAAAAAGTACCACTAAGACATGAATTTTAATTGTTCGTTCCCTCATGAATACAGGTTGATATTCCAAAAAAGTGACTCATCAGAAAGAGCAGCATAGACTTCAGCATTTGCCTCTCAGTAATCTCTGTTAAATGTCTTCAGTTTCCTGTCACTGTAAACTTATCTGGCATCTGACAGTCAGACAGGTTCTTTCCTAATCACGCATTGTCACTTGTGATGAAAGTTGTAAATACACAGTTATGATAGGTGTCATTTTTCTTAAAACTCATCTCTCAGAATCATGAATTATTTCATCAAAGTGAGATTGATAAAATATAATTTGGTAGAAGGCAATCCTTCATCATATTAATGTTTATACAAGTGTTCAACTTCACGCACGAATAGATCCATTGACCTCTGTTGGCTGATGCACAAAAGAGAACAGGTCCTTCTTCCTAGGCCAATCTTGCTCTGTAGGACAACCAGGAATCAATAAAGCAATATTAATGTTTTTTCTGGCTGAAATTGCCTCTGAATATGAAAATGCTGTAGTTCTGCAGAGCAAGTGGGGGGTTATTTTTCATACAAGTACTATTTCATAGTAATACTGTACTTGAAAGAATTGAACCATACGTATTTCAAAAAACACTGTTACAATCGAGACTTCTAATCGATGAAAATGCATTTACAACTTTTACATTTTTATTTCTCATTTGGATATTTTCCAAATGGCTTAAAACACTTTTTAGGCTTCTTACACATATTCTCCCATTCTCTATTAATTTTTATTTTGGGAAGAACTTGACTGTACATGGATGGTGTGATCTAGGTTGGTGGATACCAGCAGTAGGTGAATGGCAGCCAAATAAACTTTACAGTTAATATTCTGTAATCACTTTGCTATATATTATAAGCAGTGTGTTTTGGTACAACATATTGAAATGATAAAAATAGCTGATATATGCTCCTGTAACTGAATCAGATGAACAGTCACTGTCAACTTGGTATGACATACCCAAGGATTCAAGTTCTAGAAGTTGTTTTGTATAATTTTGATATAAATGTTCTTTGACAATTATATTAAGAGTTCATAGATAATATTATTTATTTGCTTGTTGGTTAATTTTCAGACTGACCATCTTTTTTATGCTGTTGTTTGCCAAAGGATTGGAACGGTAAGTAAGAGCCATGTTTTATCAACTGCATTTTTTTGTCTAAGTTTAATACAAATTACAATTTTCTGAAATAGCATTTCATTTAAAGATATGACGCAGGGAGTTAAGAGCACCTTCTAGAAGATGTATTTGTTTTCATGTTTACATTACAATTGGAATGATTTTTTTTATTCACAGAAAATCTAAGGTAAATTTAAAAAAATTAATTTTAAAATATTTTCAAAAACTTTCTACTCCATTATTAGAAATGGTAGTCTAACTCTCTTGTTAAAGTTTTTAGTACTGAAGGAGTGTCTCTTTGAAGATCTCATTTTGCATGATGAAATTAAATGTTAGCAGTATGCTGCTACCTCACTGCTGTCATTTCTAACATGTCTTTTGCTTCCTTTACAAAGATTAATGAGGTAGAGAATGCACGAGACTTAGCCATAGAAGACATAAATGACAATGTTCCAGAATTTCAACAAACACACTATAATGCTTCAATATCAGAGGTGGGCTATGGCAAATGTTTTTCTTGTGATATTTTTAAATTACTTTTTGGGGTCAAAGCCTATGAGGTTCTAATGTGAACACACTGATATTAGATCATTATGTGCACTCTTATGGGACTTTTCTACACCTTCCCATGGGTGTGGAAGTGTGGAAGAATGGCTGGGCTGCTTGTATAGGTGGAGGCATGGGGTGAAGAAGGAAACATCCAGCTACCCAGCCTAAAATAGAAATTGGAAGTAATTTGTATATGCTAAGGAGTTGGCACAGCTTTCCTGACAGAAGTTAGGAAGGACCTTGTGACTGAGCATTTGATGATCTTTATTTTCTCTAGGTATCTGCAATAAATTTCACAGTTATAAAAGTGGAAGCTGTGGATAGAGATTTTTCACCTACTTGGAACTTCCTTACTTACAGTCTTTCAGTAAGTGCTCTTTGTTTCTCAGAGACTGAACTCCAGTCTACATTTCATATTGGTACCAGCCTGGTATCTGACCTGAATATGCTATTTCACACTGCACAGTTAAGATAACAATTTGCAAAAAGCTAGCATCAGATAGACCATTTAAAATTAGAACTTACACCAGAGGATCAGACTAGTATGCAGAGTCTGAATCTTGTTTCTTGACATTTGTGAAATGTTTTGTGGCACTTTTCAGCTACTCCTAAGGAACATTGAGGTCCTTTTTAGAAGCAGGAGTGAAACAGTTTCCCTTCTTTTTAAAGTTTGTATTTGACTTGCTATTGATCTCCAGTCCTGCTGAGCTGTATTAAGTAAGCCACCTGAAGTAAGATTATTTCAACTAGCTTTAGATATATGCAGTGGATATTTTCACATCTGAGCTTGCTGTCTCTGCTCCTTTTATAGCTGGTGAAGGGAAGCTGATGCCATTCATCTGACCTGCTTTAGTTATTGACCAAAAGATTAGATAAATCAGACAGAAAATCTAATGGCACTGATGCAAGAGGCAATAAAATGTGTTGAAGAGGGTCAGCATTTTCATTTCCTTTGGTGGTGTTCGAGAGATTCCTGGTTCTTTATGAACAATGGTCCAATAATAAAGGTGGCAAAAGAAAAGAAAAGAAAATGTATTTAATTGTTAATCGTGTAAAATATATATGATTTATTCCTTTAACAGGGTCCAAACTCTGATTACTTTTATATAAGGGAAGGAGATGGAAACATCATGGTTAATAAAACATTGGATTACAACAAGATCAACCTTTTCAATTTAACAGTTGAAGCAAAGGTATGATATAAATTAAAAGAAGAATGAGTACCACTATAGTTCCACAACGATAATTCCTTTGTTGTAACATCCCAGTTTCTACAAATTTAAAACTTAGGGAGTTCCCAAGCCAGAAGTTGTGTCTGCATCTTGGCTCATACTACAGACAAAGTAGCACATTTTAATGTTTGAGCCATTGTTTAACTCCCCCCTTAAATACCAGCCCAAGTTTCTTTCTGCATGTATTTCTTTAAGTATATATATTGTACACATTTGTTCTCTGCTATCATAATATATATCTGCCTATTCATTCCAGCAAATCTGTCCTATTTTTTGCTGCAGCTTACTGCCTGCAGTCTTTTTGTGTCTTTTTTGAGATTTGATCATATATTTGCCTTCAATTCCTTTTAGAACTAAAAAGTAATTTTGGCCTACTTATTGTCTTATCTAGAAAATAGTACACACATTCTGTGTGCTACTATGTAACACCTGCCTGATATAAAATTAATAATAAATAAGAGCAATTACCTTTTGATAGTATTATTCCTAGAACTGGATTTCTAGAACTGGGAAAATCTGGCAGGGTGAGAGTTCTCAGGTTAAAAATGCTTAGACACTACAAAAATGTATAATAATATTTATATTCTGCTGCATTTTCCACTGAGAAATGTCTCTTTCATTATAATATTTCTTATTTTCTTCCTTCTCTGGGGGTGTAGGAAAAATTTGGAAATAACAGGGATACTGCATCATTACTAATTAATGTACAAGATTATGATACGATGAACCCCTATTTCAGTCAATCAGTGTACAATGGAAACATCAGTGAAAACCAGGTAAAAGCTCTTCACTGAATACTGCAAGTGTAAATAGGTTCTTCCTGTCCACAGTGCTTTGCTTTCAAGGATTCTTCATCACTGAGCAGCTTAAGATGGAGAGCTGCTTCGTTTTGTTCTAACTGGTGAATTGTAAGGTCAGCACTGTAGACCTCCAAGTACCAGGTACACAGGCTATGTATTACACAAAGAATAAAACTTTCTGCTATGGAAACATATTCTTTTGTGTTCGGAGGAACAAAAGGAAAAAAATCCCAAAATTAAACAAGTGTTGTAATAGGGTTTTTACTGAAAACTTGGAAGGGCAGTTGACTGACCATCAGTCCTGGACTTAGCTGCCTGGTTTCAGTTTTAAGTAGTGTAATTCCTTCATACTTCATTACAATCAGATAAGCAAAATAAGAATCTGAAGAGTAAACTGTGGCTGATATTATATTGTATTTTTTTTCTATATAGGGTGGAAGTTTCTGAGTGGAATGTATTTGTTTAACTCAGGCTTCTGTATGTATTGACAAAAATACTATAGTACAGTATTACCAGAGTAATCCACTAAAATTAAAAGACTTAATCATCTTCTTTATTATCCTTATTTCTTTACCATTATCTTCATGGTAGCATATTTTAAACCATATATGCTTTTGTTGTTATACCTTTGGTATCCCTTTTGTTAGAAGTTCATCTTTGCCTGAAAGCAGTAATTTCAGATCTTCTAAAATGTGTCTATCTTTTAAATAAATTACTTTTCTTACTGGAGCTGCAGTGTAGACTTGCGTATTATTTTTCAGGAGAAAAAAAATGTTCTTAACATGAATTCCATCAGTGACTACAGCTTCATAGTCTGGTTTTTCTCAAACACAGCGTAACCATCAAATATTTTGGTCATCATTTTCCTCTGTAAAGTGTGTATGTCAGAAAGAAAATGTTTTCTGGGTTTCAGTGATTAAATACGTGGTTTTTTTAATCAAAATTGTGACTTAATGAACAAATTATGTATATTTTTTTCAAGTTAATCAAGTTCATGTATGTTTTCTAGTTGGGTCCTCTGACTATTCTCCCAGAGAAGATATTAGCTAAAGATGGAGATACAGGTATAAATGAAAAAGTACTTTACAGCATCAAACTAGGTAAGAGCCTTTATTTTCTCCTAGACATTCACGCAGTAATGAAGAGAACTAAGAGAATAATAATGAAGTGTAGTGTGCAGTCAGATGCCTTAACTGCATACATCTTCACTACAGTGCTGCTCTGTCAGCTAAATTGGCTTAATTTTAGACATTATAGCAGGCTCCAGCTATTTTTAAAATGTTTAGACCTTCTTAACCTTGTTCCAATAAACACTTAGTGATTCAGAGTGTAACTCAGTTTAGAGGTTTCTATTTGATCAAAGGCTTTCCTTTCAGGAAATCCAGAGAGATCAGTTCCATCCGGAGCTTTTCCTCCTCCTGAGATAATTGCTAAAAGCTCATGAAATGCTTAATTTGAGACCCTTGAAGCGCAAGTGAATTTTCTAAGAATTGTTTTGAGGAAAGAGTGTTTGGAAAAAAAAAAAAAAAGGCATTTTATTTGGAATGTTTGTTCATTTTTGCTATGGCTGAGAAGAGAGCACTCATACAAAGGACAGATGAGACCCACTGTTCTGCTTCATTCTCATTAAGCCATTGCAATTTGTTTCTTTCCAGTGAAACCCCCGGCCTACAACAACACCCTTTCAATCGATGCAGACACTGGAGTGTTGGAAGTAAAGACTGCAGTTGACAGAGAAGAATGTCCCTATCTTGTTGTGGGCATTCAGGTAGTAATTGTTTTAGAGTTCAGTGTGTTAATACTCAGTCTCAAGTTCATAAAATAATAGGTGAATCCATGTTGCTGTTAATAGTAGATATCATAGTAATGTTAAAGTGCAGTTGGTATCAAAGCTACATCCTGCCATTTAAAATGCAAAATAAAGGAAAACTTCATTAATTGAATATATGCAGTCATGTCACATCCTTGTGTTAAGCTGGAAGAGTACACTGTTATCAGGGTATGGAATTTACAGCTACAAACTCTGTTTTCTAGGCAACTCAGCAAGACAATACTTTCAAAACAGCTGATGCAGTAGTTCTGGTTACTATTGAAGATGAGAATGACAATGATCCAGTATTGTCACCATCAGCTTACAATATCTCAATTCCCGAAAATTTCCCAAATGGGACAGAAATTCTTCAAGTAACAGCTACTGACAAAGATGAGGTAAAATGACAATGTCCTTATGGTTGCTACAAATACTGCATCTCTGAAATAAAATGCATTTGCATTATACAGGTGCTAGAGATATTTTTTCTGACCATCTAAATATGCTTAAGCAAAACAAACTTAATTTCACTTCTTCAAGGGGTAGAGTGCTTCAGCCAAGAATAAATTTTGGCTGTCTATGAAACTCCTCTGGTTTGGTTAAGATCCCAAATATGAAAGTGCAGAAGTGCAAAATGGACACAAAGCTGCAATTCACCCTCAATCTGCATGATCTATTTCTTCCATGTTGTTTGCTTCTCTCTCTTTTTTTTTTTTTTTTTAAACTGTAACCTCTATTAAATGAGAAAATTAAATGGTCTCCACCAGGAAAATAAGAAGGAAACATCCAAAGGGACTAGCTCAGTGACTGTCCTTTTTAATAACAAATATCATTACTGTTTGCAGGGAGGCTTCCAGGGAATGTTGAGTCTCAGTCCAGCTGACAGTCCCTTCCAGCTCAGTCAAGCTGGGATCCTAACTGTGGGGAACTCCATGCTGTTGGACAGGGAGAGAACACCATCTTTTCACCTACAGGTATTAAAAATAAGCCTACTCCTTTCCAAAGCAACCCAAGGCAACCAGGTGATACCTGATCTCTCCTGGCAAGAAGCTGACGCTAATATGGATCAACAGCTTATCTGAAGAATCAAATCCAGACTTTCATGTTAGATCTCTCTGGAGGGAAATACCACTAGTCATGCATTTTACTCAGCTTGTAATGGTCATTCATTCTCCTTACTACTTATAGAGCACGCATTTGAGCAAGACAATAATTTTTCTGCATCATTTTTAAAGGTCACTGCTCGAGATCATTTACCACCTAACCGTGAGGTAAACTCTACAATCAACATATTGTTGTTGGATGAAAATGACAACAGCCCAACCTTTAGAGACACGCCATATAGACAAGATATTTTCACCAACATGACTAAAGGAATGTCCATTCTTCAGGTACTAGAAATACTAAGTAAAAATGACATTTTTCTGAGTTGAACGTATACATGAATCCTTGCTTCAACTTGTGTAACAGTCCTATTGAATAGGTGATCTTTTTTGAACTCCTCTGAGTTCAGAAACAATCCACCTTTCATTTAAAAGCTTACACCTGTTGATATTCCATAATCACAGTGTCCTGGATGCTCTAATACTATATCAGGCCAGGGAACAAATGATAAAGTATTTTTATTCTTGATCTTAGGTACTGTGCACCATCCTGAATTCCACAAACATAAGACAGAAATAAGATTCTTGGATTTAGTTGTTGTAAGGTGTTTAATGAAAACTGAATGTTGTTAGAGTCCAGAAATTGAAATAATTGTAAAAATTTTGGAAAGGCTGCTGAATGCTGAAGCATTGTGAATGATTTTCAGATACAATATACTTTCTGTAAGACAGTAAACCACTTGACCAAATAAAACAGGAAACCAAGATAAAAATAGCTTCAGGAGCTGAGATGTATAGGGAGTCACTATCAGAATTCATACCCAGGTGTACTGATTTAATGGATCCTGATGTAACATCTTGAACAATCTACCTCCAGTGACTTTGGAATTACTATAAAATGGGCTTTCTGAGGTATGAACTTCATATCATTCACATGAGTTACACAGGGGCAGGATTTCACTCTCACTGCTGCAATGATATTTTTTGTGCATCAAAGAGCACATGTTCTTACTGAAGTTTAATCTAGGAATCATAGAGGAAGTAGACAGTCAGTTAATTGAAGGTATAACCAAATTTTACTGTGCCTATATTTAGTGATTTTTATATATAAAATTATTTAGACCTATTATTTGCCATAAATGAAAACTCACACAATTAATTCCTAATTGTCTGCTACCTGATTTATTTTTTCTCTGCAAAGTACACTAGAATAAGCAATGCTGTGTTACTTGCCAACAACAAAATAAACTAGATTTTTAAAAGTTGTGGGTTTTTTTCTCCAGGTTGCTGCTGCTGATCCGGATGATGGTATAAATGGAGAGATAAGCTTTATCTTAGCTGGTGGCAATGAAGAGGAATACTTTGGATTGAATACATCCACGGGACAAATCAGTTTAGAAAGAGTAATCCCATTAGGAGTCAACCAGCGTAAGAACTTTGTCTTGTGGATAACAGCTATTGATGGTAAGACAAGATTTTGAACAGGCCAACACAGCTATACCCAGTGATGGGTTTTGGTTTGGTTTTGTTTTTTACTTGAAGGAACGCTGTCAAAATATGCTCCCAGACTTTGTTTGAAAAATATCATATATTTTTATCTGCTCTTGTCTGTTGAAGTTAAGAAGAAAACTGTTTTATTCATCCAAATCAATTGCATCTCTGGCAAAACTCTGCTTCCTGCTGATGCTGTTATATCAAATTTAAATTTTCTTTATGGCTATGGGAAGAATGTGAAAAATAACATACATCTCACACCTTCCTTTAATTATTGACTGGTGTTGCAGAGCATAGAACACAGAGTTTCAGGCACAAGCTAAGAATTTATAATTCAGTCAACAGGGAGTAAAATGAAAATAAAATGTGATGAGTAACTTGGCCTTTGTTTGCACATCCATGTGGGTATTGAAAAACTAAAATGGAGATGCCAAAGCCATTTTTAGGATGACCAGCAAAAACGTGGTTTCCTTTTCAGGATTTGCTGAGGGTTTCTTTGTTTTGAAAGAATAACAGAGAACTGGGCGAACATTTATGATCTGAATAAGAATGCAGATAAATGTTACCTAGGAATGGAATCCCACTCCTGGTAGCATGAGTGTTTTTCAGCCTCCTGACCTCTGTCTTCAAATTATGGTTGCATGGATAAAATGGGTACTGGGAGGAATACAGTTATAAAAGAGATTCGTCAGTCCATCTTTTATCTGTCTGTGGTAATATTGTAGTATGTATTCAAGTTCATGTATTGTAAATGTAATACCCAATGCATGAACCTGATCTTTGTTAGGACCCTCTCAGCAATACTGTAATAGTAGCAGTAAGGATTTAAAGGGAAAAAAAAAAAACAGTACCAGTGGAAAAGTATATTTTTTTGGCACAGAAGGTAACTTATGCATCTACTGGGAGATTGTTTTCTTTTGCTCGCAGGTGGGACGATTCCAAGAAGTTCATCAGTGCCAGTACAAATCTTTGCAGTTGGAGATTCCAGACCTCGGTTTATTCAGAAAACATATAACGTGTCTGTGGAAGAAGAGCTACCCAGTCCTGTTGAAGTAGCAAGAGTAAGAACAACTTTATTCTGCCACTTGTATAGGACATGACAGCTATAAGAAAATCCTGTAATATATGTGCTCTAAATGTCTATATCCCCCTGCGTTATGGATAACTAGATGTTGTGTTTTCTTTTCTGCATATCAAGCTTCACATATGTTACATACTAACCACATCCCTCAGACGAAGCCTATCACCCACAAAACCTATTCTTTCAATTGCAAACCTTTGAACAGCATCTGCTCCCATTTAACATCAAAAAAACCCCAAAAAACACACACCCCTCCTCAAAAAACACTACCAAACACCAAAACCAAACAAAATAAACCCCAGAACTGCTTGACAAAGTAAACTTTCGCACTTAGCCCTTTGTTGACTTTGGATATTTTCCAAAGTCTGTAGTGGCCCAAAGACCAGGATGGGCAATATTCACTCATTTGTTGGTGATAGATCTAAAACACTGTGACATGATATAGGTAGGGAAGGGAGTCTTCTCATCAGAGAACTGTCATAAAGGCATTTTCAAAGAAGGCTCTAGAACTTGCTCCTCATTTTGATCAAAACATGCTCAGACAAGCAGACCACCAGAATGCACTGTGGTGGCTCCTTCTTAGATACAGTTCTGAAGAGAGATGGGAGGTCTCATACCAAAACAGAGAGAAGATAATGTGTTTCAGTGTTTGATTTATTGGCTGCATAGGTTAATTAATTTTTCCACTTTTTTTGTGTACAAATAAAGATAGAATCAAGTGTTAAAGTGAGGTCTGTTATTTATATTATTAATGTATTTACATTTCTGTATTAGTCATGTTCCAGTTAAAGGCAGTCCTCTCCAGTTGTATTTTTTATGTATATTGTGGCTTGGATTCTTACTTCTTTTAATGAATAAAATTAGTAAAATAAGTGCAAACATAGTTAAACCCATGATTTTTATTTTCTTGTTAATCAGTGGTTTATTAGTTTCAATTTAACTTATTAACTTATTGGTAATATGCTGTATCTTACACAGGTAGAGTATGAGTCTTTAAATCCTCATATACCAATTACATTTCAAGTATTGACGGAATCTGCTACATTTGACATCGATGTCAATGGAATCATCTCGACAAAAACCAAACTGGACTACGAATCCCAGAATAATTATATACTAAATATTTCCTTGTCAGATGGAAATGGTACTGACTACGCTACAGTGTTTATCAAAGTTACAGATGTCAACGATAACAGTCCTGTGTTCAATGTAACCAGCGCTCATATTACCATTCTGGAGAACACACCAGTTGGAACTAGTATTACCAGTGTGTCAGCTACGGATATGGATGAGGGCTTTAACGGATTAGTGGTCTATACCCTGAAAGGTGGAGAAGGAAAAATGGATATTGATGCCTCAGGATTAATTTTGCTCGAAAAAGAACTGGACAGAGAAAAACAAGGCTTCTATAACTTAACTGTGATTGCCAGTGACCAAGGCCAGCCCGTGCAGTCTACAGCTCTCAATTTGACAGTCATCATTGCTGATGTAAATGACAATTCTCCAGTCTTCTCATCAAATAGATATGAAGTGAGTGTTACTGAAGATGAAGTGGTTGGAAGGGCACTACTGACAGTATCTGCTACTGATTTGGATGCTGAGGCCAATGCCCTTGTGAAGTACAGAATTGTTGGCCAGCACCCTCCAACCTCCTCGCCGATGTTTCTTGTCAATATGACCACAGGCCAGCTCAGCCTGAGCCAGCAGCTGGATTTTGAAGCCATAAAGCAATTTGAATTAGAAGTGGAGGCATCAGATGGAGGGCAGCCAAGCCGCAGCACTACGACAGTTGTTACTGTGCACGTACTAGATGTCAATGATAACCCACCAGAATTTAATCAGGCAGTTTATGATATATTTCTGTTTGAAAACCTACAAAAGGGTAGTCCTATCTACACATTCAGTGTTACTGACGCGGATGAGGTAGGTACCAAATTACTCTCATCTTGATAAATCGAAATGGTATGTTTTTCTCTACTAACCTGCAAAAAAGCAGAGTAGTAAATGGGCAAAGGGAGGTTTCTTCAATGGTTGGTAATGAGTTGGGTGGCGTTTTGGTGTCACTAAAAGTTTGTTGGCGTTTTATGTCACTAATAGTTCATCTTGGTTTCTGTGGAGCCAGCAATAGAACTTCCTTAGCCAAGGAAGTTAGGACCTTATACAAAATACTTTACTGGCTATCTCAGAGAAGCTAAGAAGAACTTTTCTCCCAATAGATACATAACCCAGGACAGAATTTTTTTGTTTCTGTCCATAGGCATATGACAGAAATGCAGGTATGTCACACCAGTTAGTGAACAGATTTTTTGGGATTTTGTTCTGTGTTATGGTTTATTATGTCAAAATAACCAACTTTGTTTTAATATTGCTTTGTAACTGGCTTCTATCTCAGAATATTTGTTATTGCATTTCTGCAATGCAGTCAACCTGCCCTGAGTATCAGCTTAATCAGGGAGAAAGGCAATTGTATAGCTGATATGTTTTGTTATTCTTTAACAGGAAATGACATAATTTCACTCTGCTTTATAAAAAGTTGTTTCTTTGATCCTTTGTTTTATAATGAAATTTCATATCTAGCCACGGCACTGGGGAGCTGTTTTGGAGGAGGAGATTTCTGATTTGCTATAATATTCTTGCTCATGTTAGTTTTAAAGAAGCTTAAATGCTTCTCCCAGTTCAAACTCCACTGAAATCTGTGTTGCTGCATCATGGGGATTGGTCTTAGAGAGCTTTAGCGAGGGAATGTGTAGGACCCAAATAGAGAAGCCCACAGGGCCTTCCACTTGCCCCAGTTTCTGTTTGCCAAAGAAGTTCATTATTCCCATAGTTCAGGGTGCAATATTTCATTTATTAAACCTTGCAAAGCACTGATACTTCTGCAATGAGAAGTCTTATAGAAATGTCAGGTATTAATTTTAATAAGATTACGTTTTAAACTTAAGTATTCATCATTTTAACTTTAAATTAACTATGTTTTCTTTTTAGGCTGGCTTTTCTCAAGGACACTTTATTCATAACAGTACTTTGTTTGCTGTGGATATCCCCGGAATACTTTCATTAAGGAATGATACAGAACTGGACAGGGAGACTACATCTGGATTTACTTTAAAAGTAAATTTGGGGACAGACTCTGCAGCTTTGGCTCATTTCTGCTTCATTCCCTCAAACCCTTTTTTATATCTTCATCAGAGGGTTAAAATGGCAATACCATCAACTAAAATTCCATTGTTGTTTCTTACTTTGGCAGGTATGGGCAATTGATGCTGAAACGAATGGGCTTAATTCAAGTGCCTTGTTCCACATCACTGTTCTGGATGTCAATGATAATAACCCAGAGTTTCAGATGCAGCCATATCGATTTGCGATTCTGGAAGGAGATTACACGTTGGGTACTCCTGCTAGAGTTGGACACGTGACTGCTACTGACTTGGATGAGGGAGAGAATGCACAAATTACTTATTACTTATCAGCTGAGGATGGGGATAATCCATACAGCATCCAACAGGTACGGGTTTTGGGTAAAAATAATATTTAGATACTGCTTTTCATTAAGTTACCAGATGTAGTAAGATACATCAGGTAAAAAGAGTAGGCAGTAAGCATTCTAGTACACGTGAAATCAAAACCAGCATGTGCTCTGTAGTTTGGAAGTTTATGTCAATGTCCAAAAACTAATATACTGGTCAGAAGTTGCTTGGATTCTGAGCTATATTTGTCCAAAGGAGAACAGAGGATTTCAATCCCTCATCTCTTCTGAGAACTCAGTGTACAAGAGTTATCAAAATGATCCGTGTGTGAACTCTGTTACCTTCTCTAGGATGGAACCATTTTGGCTGATAGCTATTTAGACCGAGAAACTAAAGAGAAGTATGAGCTGCTGTTGGTGGCATCTGATAACGGAGTACCTCAAAGGCAGGTAATAGAGAAGAACACATTATTCTTCATTTGTAACTTCCTTTTATTCATAAATTTAAGTGTCTGTGCATTTTCTGAATGATGATTTTCTCCTGTCACATGCCAGAATTTCACATATGTCAGCATTCAAGTATTAGATGTGAATGACAACCCTCCGCAATTTACAAGAGCACAATACTCGGCAAATGTTCTTGTAGCAACAGCAAAAGAAGGAGTGTCTGTACTCACAGTGTCTGCTATTGACCTCGATGTTGGGAACAATTCTCTTATTTCGTACAGGTAAATGTCTGTAAATTTATTAAGTATCTTTTGTTAAAGAACCTTTTGGGTTTGCATGGCAAGGTTTTGGTAGTGAGGGGGATACCAGAGTGGCTTCCGTGAGAAGCTACTAGAAGCTTCCCCCATGCCCAATAAAGCCAATGCCAGCCGGCTCCAAGAAGGACCCACTGCTGGCCAAGGTCAAGCCCATCACCCAACCATGGTAGCGCCTCTGTGAGAAGGAGGGTAAAAAACCCTGCACAATTGCAGCCAGAAAGAGGAGTCCTGTCAGGACCTGTGGCCCCATGAAAAGAGGAGCCCACGCTAGAGCAGGATTGCTGGCAGGACTTGTGACCCTGTGGGGGACCAACCCTGGAGCAGTCTGTTCCTGAAGGACTGCACCCCATGGAAGAGACCCACGTTGGGGCAGTTTGTGAAGAATGGCAGTCCGTGGGAAGGACTCATGTTGGGGAAGTTTGTGAAGGACTGTCTCCCATGGGAGGGACCCCACGATGGAGCAGGGGAGAAGCATTGAGGAGTCCTCCCCCAAGAAGGAAGGAGCAGCAGAGACAATGTGTGATGAACTGACCACAACCCCCATTCCCTGGCCCCCTGCGCCACTCAGGGGGAGGAGGCAGAGAAATTGGGAGTGAAGCTGAACCTGGGAAGAAGGAAAGGGTGGGGGAAAGGAACATTTTTTTGAGGTTTAGTTTTTATTTCTCATTATCCTACTCTGATTTAATTGGTAATAAATTAAATTCATTTTCCCCAAGTTGAGTCTGTTTTGCCGGTGATGGTAACTGGTGAATGAACCTCTCCCTGTCCTTATCTTGACCCATGAGCCTTTTGTTATATTTTTCTCTCCCTGGTCCAGCTGAGGAGGGGAGTGATAGAGTGGCATTGGTGGGCACCTGCCAGCCAGCCAAGGTCAACCCACCACAAAGAAACAGAAGGGTATTTTTATTGGTCATAAGAATATAAGACCTGTTCATAGGTGTTTTACAAGTGCTATAATCTGTACTGACTTTTAAACCTACGAAAAAGGACAGTCATTGCTCTGTGTTTTAGTGCTTATCAAATCATGATTACACTGTAAGAAAGAGAATGCAGTAAAATTATAAACTTAGCAACAAGAACCAAAAGCCAAGTTTTGTTTCAATTTCTGAAATTTTGTACAATATGTTGGAGTTTGAGTAGGAAGTAAATTAATCTCTGAGAATGCCTGTCTTCTCAGATATCTTCTGTTTGCTGGGAGGAGGAGATAAAGAAATACTAACTTTCCTAATGCACTATGCATTAAAAAAAAAAATTAATCAATAAATATTTTTGGATGAGCCCTATATTGTGGAATATACCAGGATACCTTGACATGAAAACTATAGATTGAGAAGGACAGGTGAATGAGTCAGTAAGCTGTGGATGTTTAAAGCCAGTGTCTTAAAATAGAGTATTTTTAACTATAAGATGGCATTCTACCTTAAACACATTACTTTTTCTTGTGAGCAATCCAGTTATCTGTGAGAGTTTGCAGAACACTAGGGATTAGCAGGTCTGCAGTCTGGAGACAAATGTCACCTGGATTTCTTCTATTGCTGAATATGCAGCTGAGTGAGCAGTATCTGCCTTCTAGTCATGGGAAGATCAAAGGCTTGGGATATAATGGGAGCTGAAGGCAAGAATGCTGTCTTTTTTCAAGATGGGAGACATACTTGGAAATAAAAAGGCCGATATAAATTTGCGCTAATGATGCAGCAATTAAAACCTGTTGCTTAGCCATTCTTTACAAACAGATGAACACTGTCTGTTGAATGCTTGTTGCAGAAGTAACAGTAAGTAGATGGTACTTCCAATGTCATTAATATGAATGTTATACTGATTTCTCTTTAATACAGCCTCATGAACGATTCTGATGATTTCCAAATAAATAGCCGCACTGGAGAAATCACTTGCAGGAGTAGCTTGGACCATATCACAACTGACACAGTTGTTACACTGATAGTTATTGCTGCTGATCATGGGGTTCCTCAGCTTACATCAAATGGTATGTGATATCTTTTCACCTTCCTCACCCCCCGCCTCCCAAATGTAACCTTTGCAAACACTGAAACTTGAAATTAATACCACTGATGTCAAGCCAGGAAGAATTAGGGCTAGAATTCATATTACATTTCAGCAATGATGAATATTTTTTTACCCTTTGATTTCCTAGGGGGATACCAGAGTGGCTTCCGTGAGAAGCTACTAGAAGCTTCCCCCATGCCCAATAAAGCCAATGCCAGCCGGCTCCAAGAAGGACCCACTGCTGGCCAAGGTCAAGCCCATCACCCAACCATGGTAGCGCCTCTGTGAGAAGGAGGGTAAAAAACCCTGCACAATTGCAGCCAGAAAGAGGAGTCCTGTCAGGACCTGTGGCCCCATGAAAAGAGGAGCCCACGCTAGAGCAGGATTGCTGGCAGGACTTGTGACCCTGTGGGGGACCAACCCTGGAGCAGTCTGTTCCTGAAGGACTGCACCCCATGGAAGAGACCCACGTTGGGGCAGTTTGTGAAGAATGGCAGTCCGTGGGAAGGACTCATGTTGGGGAAGTTTGTGAAGGACTGTCTCCCATGGGAGGGACCCCACGATGGAGCAGGGGAGAAGCATTGAGGAGTCCTCCCCCAAGAAGGAAGGAGCAGCAGAGACAATGTGTGATGAACTGACCACAACCCCCATTCCCTGGCCCCCTGCGCCACTCAGGGGGAGGAGGCAGAGAAATTGGGAGTGAAGCTGAACCTGGGAAGAAGGAAAGGGTGGGGGAAAGGAACATTTTTTTGAGGTTTAGTTTTTATTTCTCATTATCCTACTCTGATTTAATTGGTAATAAATTAAATTCATTTTCCCCAAGTTGAGTCTGTTTTGCCGGTGATGGTAACTGGTGAATGAACCTCTCCCTGTCCTTATCTTGACCCATGAGCCTTTTGTTATATTTTTCTCTCCCTGGTCCAGCTGAGGAGGGGAGTGATAGAGTGGCATTGGTGGGCACCTGCCAGCCAGCCAAGGTCAACCCACCACAAAGAAACAGAAGGGTATTTTTATTGGTCATAAGAATATAAGACCTGTTCATAGGTGTTTTACAAGTGCTATAATCTGTACTGACTTTTAAACCTACGAAAAAGGACAGTCATTGCTCTGTGTTTTAGTGCTTATCAAATCATGATTACACTGTAAGAAAGAGAATGCAGTAAAATTATAAACTTAGCAACAAGAACCAAAAGCCAAGTTTTGTTTCAATTTCTGAAATTTTGTACAATATGTTGGAGTTTGAGTAGGAAGTAAATTAATCTCTGAGAATGCCTGTCTTCTCAGATATCTTCTGTTTGCTGGGAGGAGGAGATAAAGAAATACTAACTTTCCTAATGCACTATGCATTAAAAAAAAAAATTAATCAATAAATATTTTTGGATGAGCCCTATATTGTGGAATATACCAGGATACCTTGACATGAAAACTATAGATTGAGAAGGACAGGTGAATGAGTCAGTAAGCTGTGGATGTTTAAAGCCAGTGTCTTAAAATAGAGTATTTTTAACTATAAGATGGCATTCTACCTTAAACACATTACTTTTTCTTGTGAGCAATCCAGTTATCTGTGAGAGTTTGCAGAACACTAGGGATTAGCAGGTCTGCAGTCTGGAGACAAATGTCACCTGGATTTCTTCTATTGCTGAATATGCAGCTGAGTGAGCAGTATCTGCCTTCTAGTCATGGGAAGATCAAAGGCTTGGGATATAATGGGAGCTGAAGGCAAGAATGCTGTCTTTTTTCAAGATGGGAGACATACTTGGAAATAAAAAGGCCGATATAAATTTGCGCTAATGATGCAGCAATTAAAACCTGTTGCTTAGCCATTCTTTACAAACAGATGAACACTGTCTGTTGAATGCTTGTTGCAGAAGTAACAGTAAGTAGATGGTACTTCCAATGTCATTAATATGAATGTTATACTGATTTCTCTTTAATACAGCCTCATGAACGATTCTGATGATTTCCAAATAAATAGCCGCACTGGAGAAATCACTTGCAGGAGTAGCTTGGACCATATCACAACTGACACAGTTGTTACACTGATAGTTATTGCTGCTGATCATGGGGTTCCTCAGCTTACATCAAATGGTATGTGATATCTTTTCACCTTCCTCACCCCCCGCCTCCCAAATGTAACCTTTGCAAACACTGAAACTTGAAATTAATACCACTGATGTCAAGCCAGGAAGAATTAGGGCTAGAATTCATATTACATTTCAGCAATGATGAATATTTTTTTACCCTTTGATTTCCTCCCAGCTGATCATATTAACAGAAAGCTTGATTTAATAATTCTGGTTAGAAATATAATTTTGTAGTTCTGCAGTGGTTCTGCTTATGGTACAAAAAACAGGGCTTCATAGTAGTAGCCACTCTAAAAAGATGTATTAAAATAATACTGATAATGTGTTTCTCTCTCTGTTTTCCTATATTTTCTTAGAATTAGAAACATTTATACAAATTAGAAACTGGCAGATAACCCTAAAACAAGTTTCAAACTTTCAAATTGCTCTTTCAAAAAATATTCTGTAACTTTTTTGTGTATTTTTAGAGGCTAGCTTTGCTATATCATGAACAGGAGAAACAACTGATTTTCTTCAAATAGGATGAGTGGCCATGACAGAATTTGCATTCATATGGTTTTTATGCACTCATATGTTTTTATGTGTATGCTTATGTATATCATATGTTTATGTATATCCCTTCTCTTTCGTTAGAAAGCAGTTTAGCATAAAATTTTTAGGGAGCTGAAAATACCTGCATGTCTCATTAACTTCAGATTGGTGATCCTTGCTCTCCTGTTGTATAGGAGCAACACTGCTGTGATCAGTGAAGTGGGGATATTCTGGAACATTAGTTCAGTATAAAAGGCATCATGTTTTATGTGTTCTATATTAATCCTTATTACTATTGATTTTATTTTTTTTCCTTCTCATTCCTCTTTCCTACATGCTGGTTTCTGTCATTTTCTATTAGTTCGTCAAAAATCTAGGGAAATGGAGCACAGATCCTGATTATTTTAGCAGCAACCTCACTATTTTAATTTGTTTTCTCTCATCAGCCTCTGGTACTCTCTACTTGCTGGTAAACGACACTAGCTTTGGACTGACTTTTGATAGCTCCAGCTATGAGTTCAGCATTCAAGAAAATAAACCAGCTGGGACTGCTGTTGGCACTGTGAGGGCTGTGACTGGAAGCATCGCTGTACGAGTAGAGTACTTTCTGAAATCTCACAGCAACAAGTTTGCTGTTAACAACCAAGGAGACATTGTGGCTCTGACCAGGCTAGATCGAGAAGAAGACGACCTGTACAGCATCATTGTAGAAGCTGTTGATTCTATGATACCACCTAATACAGCTGTTGCTTTGGTACAGTATACTACATTTTAAAATATTTTTTTTAAAGTAGTATAAAATATGTTAAAAAAATATAATAACAGTCAAACAATATCCAGGTAAGTGTTATCTGTTATGGAAGCATGAGGATTCTGAGAGCCTTTTATTTAATTTCCCTTTTTCTTTCTGAGGAGGTATTACCATCTTGAAATACCGTCAACTTCACAAATTGTATCACTTCCTGAGAGTTCCTCTGTGAACAACCCATAAACAGAGAAAATGATTAATACTGAAACTGATTCTGTGCATAGTTCTGTCAAATGCATAAAGTAGATGAGTCAAAAGGCCCCAGATTATTAATCTTGCTCACCTCTTCCAATTAGAGTGTGTGTTATCTCACTTGAGAATAATAATTAAAAAAAGGCTGAGAGGCTCAAGTTGTCAAAATGCTCAAATGCTGAAAATGTTGAAGTTTTTCTCGTATCCCTTTGGCTTTTAGTTTTGTGGGGAAGGGGGTGTTTTGTATGTTTGTTTGGGTTTTTTCCTATCGGCTTCCATAGACTAAAATGAATCAAAATTCTCCTTTGGATACTGTTCTACAGCTCAAATTTATTTGTCTCTTTTTCTTTTTTCTTCTTTTTTTTTTCTTTTCCTTTTTTCCTTTTTTTTTTTTTTTTTTAATACAGGTAACTGTAAGAGTAAATGACACCAATGACAATGCACCAGTTTTCTCAAGATTGACCCAAACTAAGCTATCAGCTCCTGAGAATGCAGACAGTCTAGACTTGGGCCTATTTTCTGCTACTGATCTGGATATAGGAGTTAACGCACTTATAACCTACTCTCTGGAAGATGATTTTGCTGGAATGTTCCATATTAACAGTTCCACTGGCAAGCTGATGACAAAAGAATCCTTAGACAGAGAGATGATGGACAGTTATGAACTGAAAATAACGGTAAGTTGACAAAATTGATGCAAGTTCACAAAATTCTCAACATAAAAAAGAGAAAATACTGAGTCATCACAAGAAAAGCACTTAATCTTAGTGAGTTCTGTTAGAATTCATTAATTAATTTTGACTGTTTATGCACCCAGCATACCCATTCTGCTATGTAAATTAGCATAAGTGAATAAATGACCCATCAACATCAGATCCTAAGGGTGACAGTCACACAACAACTTACTGTGAAATCTGCAAAGCATTCCTGAGGCCGTTTTAGACAAATTTTTTTTTTCTTTTTTTTTTTTTTTTTTTTTTTTTTTTTTTTCCTTTTTCCTTTTTTTTTTTTTTTTTTAAATACAGGTAACTGTAAGAGTAAATGACACCAATGACAATGCACCAGTTTTCTCAAGATTGACCCAAACTAAGCTATCAGCTCCTGAGAATGCAGACAGTCTAGACTTGGGCCTATTTTCTGCTACTGATCTGGATATAGGAGTTAACGCACTTATAACCTACTCTCTGGAAGATGATTTTGCTGGAATGTTCCATATTAACAGTTCCACTGGCAAGCTGATGACAAAAGAATCCTTAGACAGAGAGATGATGGACAGTTATGAACTGAAAATAACGGTAAGTTGACAAAATTGATGCAAGTTCACAAAATTCTCAACATAAAAAAGAGAAAATACTGAGTCATCACAAGAAAAGCACTTAATCTTAGTGAGTTCTGTTAGAATTCATTAATTAATTTTGACTGTTTATGCACCCAGCATACCCATTCTGCTATGTAAATTAGCATAAGTGAATAAATGACCCATCAACATCAGATCCTAAGGGTGACAGTCACACAACAACTTACTGTGAAATCTGCAAAGCATTCCTGAGGCCGTTTTAGACCTTGCAGCTGCTATATTGAGCTGCTATTGTTCTTACTGCTTTGCCATTCCATATTCCTTTCCCTTATTGTTTTCATTTTTTCAAAATATATGTACTTAGACTGTTGTAAAATACCTGAAATATAGATTTCCAAGTTAAAAGAAAAAAAAAAAAAGTTGACAGCGTAAAGTTTCATCCAACATTCATGTGGGTATCTATTTATTCTAGCTGATTTCATTTTTACTGCTATAAATCAGATAAATTATTGTGCATAGAAAGAATTGTTCCAGCATTGGCCATCATGTTCAAATATATTTTAAGGGGATCTTTACCGCTAACAAATAATAGAACAGGTCAAGGAACTTGTGGAACATATTCAGGACAGCAAGGAAACACACTAAAAGTCAAACAGTGTCTTTTGAAAATTTTATAATTAATAGAAGTGGACACTTTTTAAGACTAATTGAGAATTTGGTATAGGTACCTATAGATTAGAACTTTTCTATGGCTGAGATTAGTGTGATGTAAAACCGCACTGAATTTGCCATACTAGCTGCTCTCACAACTTCCTTTGGAGACACTTCAAGCCTTTAAATTGCAAGGGATTTCCTTATTCTTTTAAATGCCATATGACAGATATGCATCTTTGTACCATGGCTTTATTACCATGGTTTAGTGATCACATGGCACATTTGACCTGGGTCCAGGCCTGGCTATTTGACTAATTGTTCATGAAACAGGGCAGAGCAGGAGGTATGGTGAGGATACCAGCTGCAGGAAGACCTGGAACACCTAACGAAGCACAGGACTAGGGCAATCTAATTGGGTAATAGCTAATCCAGCAGGAAGTCTTCTGAGACAAAGTTTCCTTTCACAATTTTCAGAACAAAATGGAAGCTGTAAAATGAGTTTGTATCAATGTAGCGCTGCATTCAATGACAAGTGGTTTCTTCACAGGCCATGGATTCTGGCAAACCCTCGCTATCTGCAAGCTTAGTTCTAAGCATCACTGTAGAAGATGTGAATGACAACCCACCTGTGTTCCCCCAGAAATCATACTCTGTGACTGTAAAAGAGAATGAGCCTCCACATGTGGTATGTGGCATTAAGAATAAATTGGGTGTTCTGCGGTTGTTTTCTTTATGTAAGCTTGGAAGTGGGTGTTGCGTTGGTGCATCATGACGTGTGCGTTGGTGAACATTTTTTTTTACTTTGTGGAGTTTGTAAAATCATACAGCATGTTCATTTAATATGGCAGTGGAGTGCCTCTCCCACCGATTCTTCCTAAAACTCTCTTTGTGCCGCTCTCCCTTTCCCTCCTGTCCCCAGCAGTGATACCACACTCCATGGATCTAGTTTTCAGAAGACACACAGGCAGCATGTTTTAAAGATGCTGTAGGTGTTGTGCATATATCCAGCATCCCGCTGTTCTTAAAGTTTGCTGTCTTCTCACAGTATATCCCTTTCTGGCTCCCTATCTGCCTTGCAGATGGGAACTAATGGTTTACAGGAATCAAGGGAAGAGTTACCACTTAAGAACCTGTAACATCTGTTACCAGCCATCCTATATGCTGTGTCAGTGTTCTGGCAATGCAACTAATGGCCATATGAGTAATTCAGTCAGTAAACACTTTATAGTTAAATACCCATCTTGTGTGTATGTTTTGCCACTCTCTGCTCTAAACCTGTTGACCTTTTGTTTGTTTTTCTCATTTAGATTTTGAGTGCAGCAGCCACAGATAAAGATATAGGGTACAATGCCATTATTCATTACACCATAATTGGAGAGACTTCTTCATTTCATGTTGGAGAACTTTCTGGAAATATAACAACTCTTCAACCTCTGGACTATGAAAGTCGTTCCCAGTACACTTTTATTCTGAAAGCTTTCAATCCTGGAGAACCACATCTCCAGGACACAGCAAACATTACAGGTATCTCTAGTTTACCACAGAAAATTTACCTTCGTTTCCCTTAGGGAATATTTCAGCATGTGTTTTTATAAGGCATAAAGATAGTCTTCCGTAGTGATATAGTCTGCTAAAGTAAATTATCAGAGATGATGATATGACCTTTTGGCTACAGCCAGATGAAATTTTTATTAAAAATGCTTGGCTTGTCAAAAATGAAGATTTTTCACACAAACTGACATTACTTACTTCAGTGTTGTCCACAAATTTTTATATGGCATTTCTTGAGTGCCTATTGACATTTTGATGGAAAAGACTTCCAAAAACACAATTCAGTTCTTTTTTTGCTAACTTACAGCAGAAAGCCTGCTTCTAGGGTAGTAAAAAAAAATGTTGACGATGATTTTTAGTGCTGTTAAAATAACAGTACCAGATTGCTGTAGGTTTTTTCCTGAAAAAAAAATAAAAAAAAATAATTCCCAATGTAACATAAAAGATTTGTATGAAGTTTGTATCCTAGTTTTTGGCCAGCCCTAGTTTTTATCAGTGGGACTGGAAGTATTGGTCCCATTACCTGTTGTGTGATATTTATGTTACTGCATCACCAGTTTCACTAATGGTGGGCCATGACCTTATCATGCCAGGTCATGTACAAATAATAAAACTGAGCAATCCTGTCTCACAATGCTCCCAATCCTAGAGATACCAGACACAGAAGGGAGCCCAGCAAAACAATAAGATGATATTATTCATGACAGATAGTAGTGACAGCACGCTGGCCAGAAGTGCAGCCTTTGTGGGGAACTATTGCTTGAGCAGTAAATGATCTAATCCACAAAGGGAAGCATTTTGAAGTACAGAAAACAAGGTTACCATCTGGTTTAAATTGAAAGAGCTCCAACTCATTTCAGAGGAGCTGAAGAAATAGGTTGTAACCATTTAGGTGAAACTCATGTTTACACTCAGACATGGACCTTCTTCTCTTAGTTACTGTGGAAGATGCTAATGAAGAAGCACCTGTATTTGACAAGCCCTCATATCACCAGATCCTTCTAGACAATTCTACAGCTGGAACACTGGTAGTAGATATCAATGCAAGAGATGAAAGCAAGGGTTATGATGAAGGCATTTTCTACAATATTTCAGGTATGTTAGAAAAAAAAAATAATCTTATGGGTGTTTATATACTGCTAATCTAAGCTGCTTGTCAGAAGAATGAGAGGTAATGGTCATAAATGGAAGTGGCAGGTTCTAACTGGATATAAGGGGGGGGGGGAAGTCCTCTGTGAGGATGACAAAGTACTGGAACAGGCTGCCTAGAAAGGGTACCTTGGAGGTTTTCAGCACCTAACAGATCAAAGCCTTGAGCAACCTGCTCTGTGAGCCAAGAGGTTGGACCAGAGGCCTCACAAGAGTCCTTCCAGCCCCAAATGATTCTGTGACATGGATGCAGAATCAAGAGAGGACCAGGTGTCTTGTTCCAAATCACATATATTGATTAGGATTTCAACTCATGTCTCTTAAATCCTCATCATATAATTCAGTTGCTTGTCTCCGTTGGCTCTGTTGAATATCTCCAACACTTGTTTTTGGCTCTTCAGGTGGAAACTCAGATGGCCTCTTTAGTCTTTCCAGTACCACAGGAGAACTCACATTAACAAAAGATTTATCCAAACAGACTGTTCCCCTGTATTACTCCTTAGTAGTCACAGCCACGGATTCGGGTCTGCCGCCTCTTTCAAGTTCTGTAAAGGTACTAAAATTTCTACCTTACTGTCTACTTGTGCAGTTTATTCCCCAAATTGTTTTATTCTAAACTGAGTGTAACTACACCAAGAAATGGGTATTAGTGAGGTGAAACTATGCAAAACAGGATCCGAATGTCAGAGTCTCACTTCTGTTTCAGGAACAGGATACAAGATGATAACAGCTATAAATTTGTGCTGCTATATCAATTCCACCCATCTTGGTTTTGATTATTCAATTTCAGAAAAGACAGACAGAAGCTCTATACTGTGAGGGGGGAAGATTAGAGGAGTGGAGACTTCTGTGTGAGGTCAAAGAGTGGGACAGTCAGAGGGGATGTAATGGATGTGATATAATAAACAGCAGACAGCAAATAAGGTGTTCCTGTTTATTTTCCTATAATACAAGAAAAAATAAATTCTAAATTGAAGACTGAGAAATGTAAATATGATAAAAGAAATATTTTTTTACACAGTGCTTATAACTGGCTGGTGATTTTTTGCCACTAAATGTCACACCTTAGCAGAATTAACAAAAAAAGGACCAGAAATATATATGAATAAAGATATGTAGAAAATTATATTCAACAGAATCTTAAAACGTAGACTTATGAGCCATCATTCTTCAGAGCTTTGGACAGCAGCTGTCTGGTATCATTTAGAAATAAATTATATTTATTTTTGTGAAGCATTATTATTTTGTGAGGCATTATTTATTGCTTGTCACCATTTTTCATATATAGTCAGTTATAATAATTTCAAAATGCTGTACTGACAAGCTCCTGCTCTGGTCATGCATTCTCCACTGGAAGAATTTGTTGCAAATACAGATCAGTACCTCTTTCTGAGAGCTGTTTAGCTAGCCAGTTCATTTGAAATGTGATGTATGCGATGAAGTGGAATCCCTCTCTATATTTAGGAAAGCATACAGGCAAACCTAAACTGAGTTTGTTGCTGGCATTTGTCATTAACCTTTGCTGCCCTCAAGACACTAATGTGTCAAACTGAGCATGCAGCCATCATAGACTTTTCCTTACTGATAAGGTACTGACTTCTGCTGTTGCACACCTGAATAGAAAAGTCTGCTAAACCTGGAAACGTAACCCCTGTCATCATCTCCTTTTCTCTGCAGGTGTCAGTAACGATAGCTTCTGTCAGCCTGTCATTCCCAGTGTTCTCTGAAGCAGCCTATCAGCCTGCCCCTCTGAGTGAGAAGACGCCGCCAGATACCTTTGTTATACAGATCAGTGCGCTGTATAAGGTCCCTGTGACATACAGTATTGTATCTGGAGATGAAAAGGGTAAGCTCTTTATTCGAAATAACAAGAAAGAGGGTGTGTTAAACAACTACCGCTGCAGTGCCCTTAGCTTTTGAATTGTTTCTTCTCTCTCTCCTTTTGCTTTTATCTCAGTTCTACAGCCATTCATACTGGATGTGTATCAACCAGCTGTACAAATTTGATACGGATCAGGTGTGGACACATGATTGAGTTTCTGTCAGATTAGTTAGAGCCACATGATACAGAGCTGCCTGCACCAGGTGTATGCTTTTTTATGTCTGCTACAGGAAGATCAGGGGATACCTGATCAGGCATAAAGTTACAGTGACTGGAGAAAGACTATCTCACTCAGCAATAAAGACTGCTGGTAGAACAACTAACTCAGCAACCTTTTCTTAACAAATGTGAATGTGTAGGGTAAGTTTACATGGAATTAACTGGGTCAGGCTGCCCAGGAAAGTGGTTGAATCACCATCCCTGGAGGTATTTAAAAGATGAGTAGCTTAGGGGAATGGTTTAGTTTTGGCAGTGTTAGGTTGGTGGTTGGACTCGATCTTAAAGGTCCCTTCCAACCTAGATGAGTCTATGATTCTATGTCAGTGCTTTGTCTTCTGTCCTTTTTTTTTTTTTTTTTTTACTAAACTGATTGTATTGCATTATCAAACATAGCCACTTTATATTTCTTTTTTGTAAAATGTTTTGTATGAAGTTGTGGTCCCCTTGAACTTATTTGCAGAATTCCTCATCTTCAGTAAGAACAGGACTTCATAGGAAAGAAAATGCTTTCTGGTTGAAACAAGGTCAAACAATCTCTGACTGTTTCAGAGGAAGGTGAAGGCCTTCTGACTGGAAGAGTGGTAGAGTGAAATTCTCCCCTTTGGTTCCTGTCTGACCTACTGAATTATTTGTTTTTTGTTAATTGCAGTCCTGGATACATCTGATATTCTCATAAATCCATGTTGAACTTTTTGTTCTTTGAAGAACAATGTAACATATGATATTCATATATAATGCATAGTTTGCACTGAGGGGTTCACATCTTCAGTTTTAACTAATAAAATAATAAATAGAATAATTTCTGTATTTTTTGAAACAGAGTATTTCATTATGGATTCATCCACTGGTATCATCAGAACAAGAAAGCATTTGAAACTGGAAGATTTTCCAATCGTTTTCAATGTGCGAGCAACAGACTCGTCTAATGCTGACATATTTAGTGAAGTTTCTGTGAACGTGGAAGTTATTGATGAAAATGATTTTGCTCCAGTTTTCCCATCATCTCTACTAGAAGAAAGATTGGAAGAGGTAAGAAAATGTCATCCAAACTGAATCACAAAAAATAATCCTCAAAATAATTAAAAAAAAATCTTTTGGTGAGTATAGAAGTAAACCTTCTGGAACTCGACATCCTTGCCGTTTTTGTTCTGCCATACAATGTTTTAAGGTTTATTTTAAGCTGAAAATTCCAGTACAGAAAAAGAATGGTCTAGAAGTGTGGACATATTGAAGGAAAAGTGAATCTTTTGCTAATAGGGGGTTCCACAAAGGAAAAACAGACACTCCATTTTGCATATTTGTACACAGAGAATATTCATGTGCATTCAAAATCTAGTGAATGTGCTGGGCACCTCATAGACTCTCACTCAGCCGTTTGTAAGGTAGCTTCATATAGAGAATTCTCAGGCAAAAGTCTCTAATTTAGCAGTGCTTCTCCTCTTGCTCATGTACAATCTGTTGTGATTCTTCCTGACATGAAGTAATGGGAAGCAGAAAGCAAGCCAGATTTCAGTCTGTGGCTGTTATGTTATGATAGCCTGCAAAAGAAGCCACGGTATTTAATTATGCAAAAGCATCTAGCTCAACATTTCACTCTTCAATTTTCAAACAGCACTTTTCATGTTTTAATCTGCTAGCTACTTTTTTAAGAAGAAGCACATTGATCATGTTTGTATTTTATATAGCATGTACCTTGACTTTGAGATTCCCAACTGATTCAGACACGTTCTCTTTAACAGCCACAAATGATTTAAAACCTAATCTGTTTCTAACATTGAGCTAAACACAGGTTTGATTATTACACCTATTTTTAATGTTTGCAGTTAGTTTAATGCAGAAGAGTTAGAATCATATTTCCCAACCTTAATAATTGATTTCCGTGTGAAATATTTACACATTAGGAATTGCTAAATGCAATCAATGGGATCGAATAACTTCAGATCAGATCCCAAATGGCCATGCAAGTGAAACACTGATATTTGCTGTTAATGCCAATAACATTTTTAAAAGGAAGAAATATAGTATTTCTTTTGAACCAAATAGTGTTCAGAAAGAAACATAATTTTGAAGCTGGGAACACCCATTGAGTTTCAAAGGAGTAGAGGCTGTTAAAAATTAATAATTCCTCAACAGCAAGTCAGATACTTGAGGTTAACATTTGGCCTGTTTGAAATCATGGTGATTCTTCGTCCTGAAGAATCTGCTGCTATAGGTAGAGACATGGGGGAGGAAATAGTTCTTTTTTGTAAATTAGAGAAAACGAGAGTCTCTTAATGTGCCTAACAGATTGCATAACTTTGATTTTTAAATGTCTATAGTGTTGTAGGTGTACCCTGTGTCTGTTACTTCCCCTTTTCATGTAATTCAAGAAATCGCAGCTAACCAAAGTCTCTGACAGCCTCAATCTGTTTTTCATCCACAGAATTTACTCCCTACTCAGATTGTCCAGCTGAAAGCTCAGGATAACGATACAGGGAGAAATGGTTTCCTAACATATGGCATTCTCAGTGGAGACAGACTAAAATTCAGGATAGATGAAGCAACTGGAGTTCTTTATTCTACCACCTCCTTTGATTATGAAGAGGGACCCACAGAGTATCAGGTTTGCTTTAGATTCCTTAAGTCTCTCCATCATTCAGAACTCTTTATCTTTCCCGTGGATAACAGGTGACACTTTTGCTTTTCTTTGGCTTGATACTGTTTGAACTTTTAATGCATTGTTTTAGAATACGAGCTTTTCAAGATGTTATGCATTATTAAAGCAAGTCACTGCTTTTAGATTATAATGAAATTCAAGCAAGGCTCATTGTTTGCCTGTCCTACAAACTCTCAAACACTTCAGCACATAAATAACTAACTTGACACTGACAGCTCATGTATTCAGTGCTGTCTGTTTGCTCGAATCTGTACTGGACTGAGATCTTGCAGATACAATTCTCAGTTAATCTTTATTGTTGCTGCCACTGCTGGATTTTTTTTTTTTATGATCTTACTTGCTTGAAGCAAAAATATTGGTGAATTTGTTGGTTCCTTTTTGTAGACCTTTTTTTATTGACCAAATACCCTTATGTTTTCAATAATCATTTTGAGGTGAGCTCAGAATTTGACTTTACATTTCTAAGAATACTCCGAATTCCAAATTCACCAAGATTTTTTAATCCTTATGCAAGTACCTATTTGTCTGATTTCTCAGTACCAATAATTGTGCAACTTACAGGTTGTGATATATGCTGAAGATGATGGAATCCCTGAGAAGAGAAGAGGTTACTGCACAGTTGTCATAAAGATCATTGATGTTAATGACTGGGCACCTGTCTTTGATCCAGTGACTGAATTCAGCGTGAATGAAAATGCGCCTGTGGGATTCATAGTTGGAAAAGTCACAGCAACAGACAGAGACACAGGAGACAATGCATTTGTTCTATATAGCCTTACAGGTAACCAGGAATTCTCTCACTGCACTGGAACAACTGTCACTCAGTTGTCTATACTGTTACGAGCATAAATAGCGCTGTGTGTGTTATCTCCTAACCCCTTTTCACATAAGCTGCGAAGGTTCACTTTCACCTGGCTAGATATTGTACTAATTTATGCTCATACAGGGTTCAAATTGATTGAGTAGGAACTTCTTTTGCGGAAACTACAAATTCTGCTTTTAATCATACTCTTAATTCTGTTAAAAAACAGCTTTTTAAAAAAATCTTTTGCTACTCAACTGCTGTAGCTGCCATCAGCAGGAGTAATTTTGATGAAAAAAAAAAAAACAACCCCATAACTTTCTTGAAGGAGGAATAAGGGTCTAGGGCCTAATTCATCCCTGCCTTGTAGAACCCGTTGGGCCTGCGCCAGGTATTAAATGTTGCTAAATTAAGTCTCTCCTCAGCTTGTGAACTGTGAGCATTTCACAGCTACTAGGAGCAGATGTAAATGGTGTCACAAGTGTGCCAGGAACTTGATTCACTATGAAGGGCTGCCGGAGAGCTGTCTTCTTCACCCTTATTCTTCACTGTTACCACTGCAGCAGAAGTGCCACAACAGACAACAGGTCACCTACTCTGCTACCTGAGACCTCTGCCCAGGCAGTTAATGTCAAGTGCCTTCAGTTTCACTTTACGTTCATGTGCCAGTTTGTGAACTGCAGTGACTCAGAGCTCTGATTGGTGCTTCCTGTCACCTTTAACTGTGGTAGCTGATGGCATTACTGTTGAGAAGAGCACCCTTTTTGCCACTGCCCCTAATTCTGGCAGAGATGGAGATTTAGAATCTTCTCGGCCAAAAGCCTGCAGAAGTTGAAATAGTTGTTTTTGTTCCATGGTCCATCAAGAGCGATGCGTATACAGTTTATAAGTTTTAAGAGTCTTTTATTTCCAATATTCATACCACAATATTGAGGTGGCTTTGAACAAGGGTGGCCAAAACCAGTAAAAGTTACTGCCAGGTCTTTTGGCAGTCAAACTGATTTCTCTTTAGATTTGTGTGCCCCTCAGTCCACCGTCAATAGAGACAGAACAAATTCAGTGACATCTCCTCTTAGAGATCTTGGCAGGAGCACTGTCTTGTTACAACACTTCATGACTGTTGAGACCAGCAAATGCGAGACCGAGTGTACAGAAGGTCAGAGGACTGTAAAAGTGCCTGGAAACACCTCTAATCTCCTCTAAGGATTGCCCAGTCTTGGAGGAACTTGCTTCCAGAGATTGAGATTCCCATAACTCCAATGTGCTGTCCATCATCCTGTGCATGCCTCAAGCTCTATTAATTTTTGAATGTGACAGACGTATCTGCAAAACTTATTCACCCATTCTGTTGGCTCACATTTCAAATGCTCATCAAAATATCTTCTGTTTTTCTTCTACGTTATCCATGTTATATTTAAGAGTTGTTTTAATGAGCTCAAGTCATAAGTAAACACATGATTTGAGTGTAGTTAATTATGTGCTTCTAAGATGTATTCATTGATAATGCTTCTTTAAATTTATCTCAGGTGGTGGAGGAAATATATTTGAAATAGATGAAATACATGGCAACATTAAGGTAAAGAACTCTCCAGACTATGAAACCATGAATAAATACAACCTTACAGTGAATGCAGTCAACAGTAAATCTGCTCCTTTCCATCAGGTAAAAGACTATTATTATAATGAACAGTGACTCTTCCAGTCAGAGAGGATTTTAAACCAGTGGGAGGGAGATCTATCAAAGACATTTATTGTGTGGAATAAATTAGTCACCTAATCATGTTTAGGGTCAGACTTTTGTGACCTTTGTCCATGCTGAGAAGTATTACACTCCATAATTGGTTGAAATTACTCCATAATAAAGTATGGTACAATATAATTATAATGGTATAATATAATATAATATATAATTGTTTGCAGACTAGCCTGTGCTAGGGAACTGGAATTCTTGCCTACTGCTGTTAGTGATATAAGTGCCTGGTAATTTTTCATGGGAGAAAAAGTAATTTTCAGCAAATTGTTATAGTTCTGTTGCATTTTCTTTTACTTGAAAAGATATTACACACTTATTTAACAGAACTAGAACATGTGTGGTCCCCTTAACTGCATCTAGCAGCAGCAGTAGGACATGTTGTCCCCCTAAACACATCCTGTTCTTACCCATTCAGGCACCTTTCAAGAAGCGTAATCGTACTTCAACGTTGAATTCCTGCCTCTCGTGTATTAAAATCCTGTAATAGTCTCTGCTGAGTTCACAAAATTAAACCTAACACAATATTTTACTACAGCATTTTCAAAGTCTAAATTAGACTTTTTGTTGCATATGCAAATAACAAAAATTATCTCTTAATAAGACACCCTAGGTATTCTAAAATGCATGAAACCATTTTGTTTTCTAGGCAACTACTCATGTCACTGTTCTAGTGATTGATGTGAATGATAATGCTCCAGAATTTGCTCAGAAATCCTATTCCGCTTCTATAAACATGATTAATCCTGTAGGTGCTCATGTCATAACTGTGAGTGCTACCGACAAAGATCAGGTAACTACTCCTGTTTGATTTTGACACTGCTTTATTTTTCTCTATTCTCTAGTCCTGAAATACCAAATGTAGTAGAAAGTGATTTCTGATTGACTAACAGCACTGGGAATTGGAAAGCAGGGCTTTTGGTGCTTCTGCCTTCATACTGATGTACTCCCTGTCTTTGGGCATGTTTCTTCAGCTATATTTTTGTTAATTTTTCTGCTTATTATACAGAGGTGTACCAGTCTTTCAGAAGTATGCAAGGACTGAAGCAATTTAGTGTCTGTGATGTTATTTGAACTTCTGAAGTGGAAGAATCTGTAAAAGCTAAACATATCACTGGCTTGAACATGGAAAGGTCTGCTTTCCAAATGCCTCTGAAGTGTGGTACCCCAGCTAATTATCTCTGTTCCCGTTTTTTAAAGTAATTTTGTTTGATGTATCTGTAGTGCACCCAGTATCCAGGCACTGGCAGAGATATCCACTAGTGAACCAAATCACCATGACAACATCACTACTAATTATATCATTTAAAAGATGGAACATCTGGAAGTGACAACAAAATAGGTGTAGCAGGTGCCTTCCTATTTCTTAACGCATAGCTTTGGTTAAAATAGCTACAGCTGTGGGGTGTATTGCTGCAAATAATCTAATGGCCCCCTTTTATCATCCTTCTCAATTATTTTATATAAAACTGAAATTGCTTATGAAAGTTGGCTGGAGTCTCTCAGATCTTCATTCAGACCCTAATGAAACTCAGCATTCAGATACTCTGTCTGGTCCTCTGCCATGCAGCGTGGCACTCATCCTCCCTGTGCCAGCCTTTCAGGATCCTGGGGCAGAGACCGCTGCTGAAATTATCCTATATTGTCTCTATCCCTCTCTGTTCCTGAAATAATTATAAATCCACAGATTACTTAGTGACAGCAGATGTTCATGGTAGGGTTTGATCCTGCTGCTGCAGAGCCATGGAAGAACAATGCTTTTCAGAAATCCAGAGCAAACCCTCAGGGTTTGTCAGAATGGCTTGTCTCAGGGAAGTGAAGTGATGTGCACAGAATAAAACCTGTCCAGCTCTCCTGTGCCAGGCAGGAACAGGGCTTGCCCTCATGGCAGTGGGGAGGCTCTGCTTCTCCTCAAGGTGTGAAAAGGATCTAAGGGACTTGGGCTTATTCTTGCTCATATCACAGCTTTAGATAACTCCCTTTCACTACTCTGACTGTCCCTTTCTATACGTGTCCTTATTTTCATTAGAGATTTTATGTTTCCGGATTTTTATTTTTTAACTGGCCAACTGTTTGTGAATTTTCTTCTGCTTTGTGTTTTTATCGGCACCCTTCCTACCATAGCTAACCCCAAGTTTCAGTGTTTATTCTCCCCTTCAAAAGGTACTCCCAGTGCATGTAGTCTTCTTTAGTATTGCTATGGGGATTTTTTAGGATCTTGGAACATCAAAATTAACTTGGGGGGGTGGGGACTCTGCCCATTGGCCCTTTCTCCTCCTGCTGCTCTTCTTAAGCACGAAGTAGCTCTGAGCCTGGTTCTCTCTAGTTATGCCCCTGGGATTTAAGCATGGAAATTCCAGTGAGTCTGTACTATGGAACTCAAGGCACTGCAATAATGTGGTCCTGCAAGCAATAGTTACATGAAGTTGTGTTCCTTTCACGGCAGGGGCAAAATGGCCTTGTTGAGTACTACATCCTCCCAGATCAAAACTTCAGCCCGTTCTTCCTGATAGAAGATGTGAGTGAGGGGAAAATAATTACAACTGGAAACCTGATTACTTCAGGAGAGATCTTTTTAACAGTGATGGCTAAGGACAAAGGCTTTCCATCCTTAAATGACACCGCTGTGATTACTCTTAATGTGTTTGACAACCGTCCATTTGTTCCTCGGTTTAATGAAAGCAAAATCAGGTGAGGTTTTCACATTAAGTTCTATAACTGGTACATACTCTCCAGGTACTGGAAAACGCAGTAAAGTTGAAAGTTGAAGCTCATTTTCACATTCCTCCATGCAGAAGAAAGGACATTGGGGTTTTTTTTTTAACAAAACATCCAGGGAATTCTGCTATGCCAGTGGTTCTGTGAACAGGATGAGCGGAACCTTTTCTTTCTTTATCCTGCAGCTTTTATAAGCCAGACTCTTTGTCCCTTTCCTCTTCCATGCTAATTAAACATTCTTCTTTAGCCTTTACTCAAGGATAAACAAATATCTGGCTAGAAAAGTAAGGCTTGCACTGCATTCTGAAAGTCAGTGAGCTCTAGCAAACAACTGGAGGGGAGGGGGCAGGATATTCCACAGATAATTTGCTCTTTAAGAGTTACATTTCAAAGGCTGCCTGTGCAACAACTGCTGGGAAATTTAACATGATGCATCATTTATTTTCTATATTAGCACTTCCATCCCGGAAAATACAGGAGTGGATTATTTAATTCACACTTTTACTGTGGTTGAAACTTTAGGAAAACCAATTAATTATACAGTTTTATCCGGCAATGAAAAAGGTGAGTACTATTTCCCTTATGAGTTAAAATAGCTAAGATACCAGAATAACCTGTCTTTTTTGTGCCAGATTTTGCTGTATGTAAATGAGGAGATGGAGAGCAAGGATTAAAATTTATGTCGTATTTTTAAAAAACACAAGTACACAAAGAATTTCTTTCAGAGCTCTTCACCATGGACTTTGTAAATCTTCTCTGCTTAAAGAGGTGGCAGTAGCTTGCTAAAAAATGGGTTAGTTAGGATAATTTGCAGACTTGGAGAGCTAAAATGGAAGTTTTAGCAACCAGCTTCCTCCCTGCCAATCACTTTTAGTCTATCATTTCCTTGCACTTGCCCCACGTCAAGGCATCTGCCCTTCTCCAGCTTTTGCAGCTCTGCCGTGACTCCCTTTGGCACACAAAAAAAAGGAAATAATTAGAAACTGAGAGAAAACTTGGAAAGCAGTGAAAACAGGAGTTGTGCAACTAGAAGCTGCAACTCTGTTTTCCAAGTATGGGGCTCCTTTACATGTTTAAGGCCTGTTTGGTCTGGGATAGGACCCCAGCTGTGGTGCCATTGCTACTCGGCCACTGGAAGAGTTGCGTTTCACATTCTTAAAAGCAGAGAACCCATGGAAACATCCTAAGAGCAGCTAAAATACAAGAGGTAGGAGGGACACAAGTGAAATGGTAGCTATAACAACAAAGGTGCATGCTTTTCCTTTCAGGTCACTTTAGACTGGATCCAAAAAGTGGTCAGCTGAGAACAGCAATTAATTTGAACTATGAGGAAGTTTCTCAGTATGTGATTTTAATTCAAGCAAATGAAGATCTCTCATCTGCTGCAGAGGTCCAGCGTTCAGGTAACTTTGTGCTTTGAAGGACATTCCAACTGAAATTAGGGGCAATGAACACGTCTTACAACACAATGTAGGAATCATGGTTCTCTTTACCTGCAAAGTCTGATGTGAAAGATGAAAAGCTGAAGATCAGGGCTGTGCAGAGAGAAGCAGAAGCCTTCCTCCAGGGGCACAGACCCTCACAGGGCCCTACCACGGTCTCAGAAAATAATGTAGTAGCTGGGCTGTTGGACTCCTCAGCAGGAGCTGGAGGAACCTGCCTGCTGGGCTGACAGAGGAGCAGCACAGAGGCCTTTTGCCTTCAGCTGCCCTGTTCCCACTGAAACCCCAGCAGGAGTGAGAGCGAGCTCCTCTGGGCACATCCCTGCTGCGTTCCCTTCCTTCTCCCTCGTCCTCACATGCAGCAGAGGTACTGCTGCAAAGCCACAGCCCGGCCTGGCCTCTGAAAGCTGTGCTTTGCTGGCAGTTGTTGTTACAGTTAACTCCTGTTTGTTTAATAGGCATGTTTGCTCAAAATGTGGCAATGCTGACAATCTCGGTGGAGGATGTAAATGAAGAGCCAGTGTTTTTGAAAAACAACTTCTCTGCTCGGATACCAAACTCTGTGCCGTACAAGTACCCGGTTGTTACAGTTCAGGTAGAGTACCTTTCTGTGCTCTTCATGAGGAAAGAAATGTTTCTGAAAGATTTAAATTTCTTCCACAGTTAAACTGGGTTAAAGGAGCTGTTGAAATCTGCTCTTGAAAGCTCGAGACAGATTCTGCCCATCATCCAGCTTTGACATAACGCTGGTGAAGGATGGGGTGTTCAGGGAACTGGTCCATACCTGCCCTACCAGCAGGTCCACAGTCTGTTCTGACTCACTCATGCTGCTGTTAGGCATTACATACTGCACAGACTGCTCTTCTCTACCTCTCCCGTTAACTGCTTTGTTACCAATCAGACCCAAATGGGAAATGAAATACAAAATGCAGCTTATCTTTTTCAAAGTCTCCCTCCATTCTAAGCCTTCTCCTTTTATGCTCGCAGCTTCAGACTTTATGGGAAATGTATTTCTGCTTTTATACCCTTGGTCTGATAGTTTGTACCCCACTTTGTTTCGTGCAAAGAGAAAAGTAAGACAGCACTATCCTAGAAGACCCCAGTTTTAGAAATAGAAACTGCAGAGTTTAATGATTAAAGAGCAATATGCAGCCTAGAAGCCACAAGCTGAGTTTCACAAATCGCCTTTCTTTTAAACCCAGGCCACAGATCCAGATTCAGGAGACAACGGACTTCTGCTGTACAGCTTGGTGACTAACCAAACAAATGAATTTGACATCAATGAAAACACAGGGGAGATTTTTACAGTTTCTGTAGCGGGAATGTCTGGAACATTTTATCTGGAAGTCCAAGCTGCAGACCAAGGCACAAGAAGACTCACAGCCCAGACAACAGTTAATGTAAGGAAGATTGCTGTTTATAGTCCTGATTTGCTTCTACATCAAAACTCTGTATACAAGATGGGCTAGGTCTGGTCATGACAAAAAAATTACTTAAAACCACATAGTAAGATGGTCAGATACACCAGTGTTTACTACGTACTTTCAGGCCAGAATTATGAGGTTGTCATTTCCATTGACGTATTAAAACATGTTGGCATGTAGACTGCCTTTAGAGGACAGCTACTGTGTATCAGAAGAGTGGGTGGGGGATTTTTTTGGTGGTTTTTTTTTTTTTGGAAAGTAAAACTAAGAGAGGTACAAATGCTTTAGGAAACCTTACATGTGACTTACTTGATTTATTTATTTATTAGGTGACTGTTGATTCCAGTTCCAGTAACAACTTGGTGGTGGCAGTGCTTAATCAGAAAATCAACGTTGTTGAAAAAAACATTGCTGAAGTAAAAAGGTATTTTGAAACTGTGAAGCTTATTCTGATCTATTATCTAATCACAAATTCAGAGTCCCTTTGAGGTAGGGATCTGACGGCCTAGAGGAGAGATGGTTCAGCCAGCGCCCATGAAAAGCTAGGCCTTCAATTTGAGGTAGTTCAGAATAATTTGAGAAAATTCACAGGGTTTTTACCTGGTAAAGGCTTTGGCCTGAGCTGACAAATGTCAAAGAGGTCATTGGACTAGATGATGTCAACAGGTCTCTTCCCACCTCAATGTTTGTGATTTTTAACAGCCCAGGATAAAGTACTGTATGGGTAGTAGGCTCAAGATACCGATGTGGAGACAGACAGGAGAGTAGCCACAAACCAGACCCACCTGTGCTACAAGTGAAAAATCTCACTTGTAGCCCAGCAGCAGAGCTTCTCAAAGAGGTCTCAGCCCTACAGTGCTATGGGATTAGGTAATGATGTGTGGATGGCTACACTACAATGAAAAACACATTTTGGCCTTTTAGGCACGTTAATGAAGACACAATGTTTTTCTGTTTTGATTACACATAAACATGTATTCACATTGGAAATACTGAGTTCTGTGCTTTTGAGGGGAAATTACTTTGAAGGACAGAAAAATGAATTTTTGACATTGACACTTTTATAGCACCAGTTTCGTGTTGGTAAAAATTAAATGGAAACCCTAGAGCTGCTCTGCCACTTTGTTTGAAGCAGCTGGTACTGATTGCTATTGAAATAATGGATTAACTGGGCCTGTGGTCCAATCCAGTGTGAAAATCTCTCTGTGAAAAAGAAGGAGAAAACAATGAGGATTATGAGACTGAATTTCTCTCCTCCCCACCCTTACTAATACTTTATAGGTATCACTGCCTGTATTTATAAAAAATAATGTCAAGTGTGAAATAAGCCATATGTTGCTTTGAAAAGCGTGACTAAATATATGCTATGCTATGCAATATCGGTTATGAAATCTAGGTATAAGCATTTGTTAACCCTTCCTTTCTTTAATTAATTGCTCCACTATGCTAATGGCACCTATCTAAGAATTTTCAGGCTGTGTACAAGTTATATAGCACTTACTAATGAAAAGTGTCTTTGCTTAGCAGCCAGAGATAAGGACTGCATTTTTTTTAACTCTGCTACTCACTCACTCAGTGATACTGAGCAATTCCTTTGCTGATGATAATCCTGCATTTTCCCATGCTTAGATTAAAATACTAAACACCTGCCAAGTGTTGTATTAAATGCTGCTTTTCTGTCATTTAATTTCCAGAGTAAAAGAATTTGTCATTACCCAGTTAATTTCAAATGTTTTCTTAATATGATGGCAGGGTCCTGGAAGATAAACTTGAATGGAATGTTTACATTGTTGAAGTTTACTCCAGTGAGTCTGAACGAAAAGCTAGAAGCAGCACTGATGTAACCTATGTAAAAATTATTGCTTTTGATGAGACAAACCAGGATGTACCTGCAGAAACTGTAAAAAGGTCTGTATGGCACAGTCTGTCTTCTGGGTGTCAGCACTATGCAGCTAGGCTTTGTTTCCCTTAACATTATTAATGCCTTGGACTAGACAGGTTTAGATCAAATAACAGTTTATCTGAGACTTATCTCAAGGCTTAAATGGAATTTTTAGAATTCAGAAAGCTTGTTTATTGAAAAGTCATTTTCAGAGTTTGTCAGGAACATGAATAACGCTGTTTAATTGTGTAAAATATATTTAAAGGTCCGTGTTATAGAAAACTGAAGCAGAAGAATATCATTAAAATAGATATTGACTTCACTTTAGAGCTGGAGAATGTTGACTAAAAACTTACGTTTTAGCTGTATTTTACATTTGTTTCATAACATGACAGTGGTATGAATGTATACCCTTATAAACATTCTATTAAGGGCAACTGCTATTTAAACACACGCTTTCTAGACTCAACTCCTCTCCCACACTAGTAACTGTTTGTGGCTGATGGAATCTGTGGTCATAGGGAAGAGTCTCTCTCGCTATTGGTATTTGTAAGGCTGTATGTGGCTGCCTTGATGCGGATTTACTGACCTCTCAAGTTCAATGTTCCAAGCTTTGCAGCATTTTAGTTCAGAAGCACCAGGGCTGGTTACTAGAAAACTAGAATTTCTCACAAATGAAAGATGTGACAATTTTGAATCTTTGGAAAGGGTCTTGGTGGAGCAGGAAGTGGGATTGTGTTATTTTCTTTGCTACTCTTCAAGCCAAAATCAAGGTCTAATAAATCACCAGCTTTTTACTCCTCTGTCTTCAGAAAACTTAGGGAGCAGAAGACTAACATTGAGGGAGAACTAGAAAAAATATTCTCAATGCCTGTTACTGCTACCATAGAAGAGCCTCCTGCAGAACCAGCAGCTCCTGAACTCATTGCAACGATCGTCCTCGGTGTTCTGCTCGCCTGCACCCTCGTAGCCTGCCTGGCATACGTACTTTTTACTATCAGAAGGAAAAGGTACAAGTAGTTCTACACTGACAATGTAATATAGACTTGCAACTAGGAATTTTACTTTAAATGTCAACTTGAAAAATACTTATCTGAAAAATTACTAATATTTGCATGGAGTATTGCCTAAGATCTGCTATAAATCAAAATGCCTGGTGTACTGTAGATATTAGACATGTTATGTGTAACTGAAAGTTGGTTTCTTCTTCTGCTTGTCACACAGCAACAGCAGAAACAAATGCTTTTAAAGAGAGAGAAATGTGGGTAGCATAAATTTTAACTATGAAGGGGGGCACAAGTACCTGTAATATATCCACATAAGGCTCCTCTAATCCCATGAATACTGAAATCAGGGAATGTTTTGCTGCTAACTTCAGTGGCAGCAGGACCAGATAGCAGAGGAAAATGAGTACATTTCCAAGAGGGCAAGTGGGTTTTTACCCTGCCACCATTAAATCTGTAATCTAACCATTGTGCAGAACAAGAGGAAATACTTCAAAATAATCCTCAGAATAATACGGAAAATAAACATTGCGTGTTTAACTTATGACACAAGTACTTCACGTTCTGTTTTTAACTGTAAAGGCAATCTTCAAAAAAAATTAATAATTTTAATGTATTTATCATTTTCAGAAAGCATGACCAACAGCATTTGGTTAAGAAGCAAGCTGAAACTGTGGAGGGTATTGACAATCTGTATGCAATTGATGAAAAGGGAAGTCTGAGAAGCTTAGAGAAACTAGAGCATACAAATAATGTGTAAGTAGAATTCTGATATCACAAATTTACAAAAAATAGCGTATCAGAAGATGCGATTGTACTTTATTCTGGTAACATGGGATTTTCCTTGTCTCTCTCACTACCAGTGCATAGGTTGATTTTAAAGAACCCTTATAAGTTAAAACTCCTACACTTGATGGAAGCTAATACCTTTTAATCTTGTATCGAAAATTACAAGGGCAAATTCCTGCTTTCTCTTTAGGGAATTTTTAAGCCTTATGCAGGAAAAACCCTTCAGGATACAAGAAGCTACTTAATGTTTCCCTGGGTAAAAACCCAGCAATTTTGACATCAATGTACATGCTACTCTCAGCTTTAGAGCGGCTAAGACTTCTGTCACTGAAGTATTTGCAAGCTCAAGGTGTTATGAATTCTCTTACCTCTCTTTCAGGAAAATGGAAGCAATAGCGTTCAGCAATCCGGAAGATGCTGACAAAGACACCCTTCAGGCTAACGAAGGATACGATTACATTGAGACACTGGATCACAACAGCAAACATGAAGAAAATGCAGAGTCTGAAAAAGCCCCTGAACCTAGAAATGTAGATTCCCAGTCCCATGCAGAATTGACAAAACAGGTAATTAGCTGTTCAACTGCAAAGAATGGAGTGAAAGGTTACTTTATCATTATTCATCAGAACACTGGAAGAACTATCCAAAAAAAGTAAACTTGTGATAGAATTAAAAAAAATAAATTAATAATTTGTGAAGTAATGAAAACTTTTGTCCTGCTTGGAAGGACTTTGTGACCCAGAAATGGTGACCTTCTTCCACCTTTTACAGAGTGTTTCCTGAAAACTGTTCTCACGTGCTGCTCCTAAAACTTAAAAACAATGCAACCTTAAGACCGATGCTTTCTGTGCAAGCTTCTGAGAGAGAACATACATACAAAAGTTACATGACTTGTACTGCTTACAGTACGTCCACACTCTGCCTCTTTTTGCCTCATCTGTGTTGTTTTTTTGCAGGATGGCTTTCTCACAGATACAAAGGAAGGGGCAACTTCTTCCTCAACACCTGGTCCCACAAAACAAGCCCCTGACAAAATTAAAGGGGTGAAATTTTCAGAAGTGGCAGTAATTTTGGACACAGAGTCTGAAGATGATGAGTGTGACGATAATGAAGTTTTTTAATCAGTAAGATGAAGCAAACTTTTAGGAAAACCACACTGACTAGTCCCTGGAACACTACAGAATTAAACGAGCCATAAGAATATGGGAATGCTATCCAGAGATTAATTGCTGCTACTCTTCTTTGTGCTGTTAGAGACGGACAAGAAAGACAAGAAGCACTGGGCTGGAAAGGCGGTTTTAATGTCTTATGGCACGTGGGAAAGGGCAAGACAATAAAACCGATCCCAAACGCGACGCCTTGTCGTTATTTCAGACGAAGTTCCCCTGGGACGTGGCTGTTCTGTTGTTCTGCACAGAACTCACCCTCCTGCTTCATTTTTGAAGGAGCGGCTGCTGTTTGCCCGCTCAGGCGGTGCCTTCCCCCCCCTCCCCGCCCCAGGCTGCACCGGAGGAGCCTCCGGCCGCTACCGCCGCGGGAGGAGCGGCCACCGGCCCGCAGCGAGGGCCGGGGGCTCCGGGCTGAGGTGAAGGTGCAGCCGCCTTCCCCGCCGGAGGCCGGACGGGCGGCGCGCGGCCTCGCCTTCCTCCTCCTCCTCCGGCGGGGAACGGGGGAGGGGAACTTTCTGGCACCTTCTGGCTGGGTCGCCGGCGGGCGGAAGCGGCGGGGCCGGCGGCGGAGGCGGGCGCTGCGGTGCGGCGGGTGCGGGGCAGCGCCATGGCCAAGTGGGGACAGGGGGACCCGCGCTGGATCGTGGAGGAGCGCGCGGACGCCACCAACGTCAACAACTGGCACTGGTGAGGGGCGGCGCGGCCGTTAGCGCGGCGCGCGCTCGCTGAGGAGAAGGGCGGCGGGAAACGCGGGGGGGAGAGGCTGTGTGTGTGGAGAGACGGGGCGGGGGGGGGGAACCTGCCCTTAACGGCCCCGCTTCCCGGCCCAGGACGGAGCGGGACGCGACCAGCTGGTCGAAGAGCAAGCTG